TCGGGTTCGGGTTCGATTCGGGTATTGTTCGGGTTTTTCGGTTCGGATATTCGGTTCCGGGTATTTTGTCCAGGCCTATGTTGTACGAATTTCGTAAATAAGATTTCATGAACGTACAAAATGATTTCGTTTTGGTTAAAAAGTAAAAATAGTAAACAAAAATTATTAATAATTTAATAGAGAGAGTGGAGGAACAACGGCCCCAAGATTTTTTTTTAAGATTGATGTGATTGCGACGTGTCGCTTGCTTGTCTGCTATGTGGGCCCCACATCCATTGCTACTTGGTAATTCATTTTTGAGCTTCTTTTTTTGTGGAGATAAATATTTTATTTTAATAGTTGGATCTTGAAATTTGACAACTCTTAAATTTGGATTTGGATTTTAAATCGAATTTAACAAAAATAGGAGGTAACCAAGCACTTGTTATACCATATAATTTTTACTATAAATTACATCAAATTATAACATTGACTATAAATTCAATTTTAATAACCCGTATTATCAGTTGTTGTCTAAATGTTTTTAAGTTATTATGACAACCATGTAATTGTTCTTTATATTTTGTTGGATTGTTTTTTCAAACATTTCAAGTTCATAAAAAAAAAGTATTCAATATATATATTCATAAAAAATAATTAAATATAAAATGAGTTTATTTGGATGATTTTGGTTTAGTTTTGAATATTACGCAGCCAATAGCCTTAAATTTTATAAAGCATTTAAAATTTTCAGATTTAATATAAAAATTGATTACAGAAAAAGCCACAATCTTCCCTAATTCATATTCCAATTCTTTTAAGGATCTTAATTTCAGTTATTTGATAGCATAGATCTTAGTTTTACACTTTTAGTTTATCTTTGTCTCATATTTTTCTAATTACAATATGAGGTTTTAGTTTTAATAAACAACAAGTCCTTTTTACATAGAAAGCCAACAACAAAAGTTAACATTTATCGGAATAAGAGAATGTTATCAAGAAAATTAATTAGCTATACCAAAATCTATACAAAAGAAAATGATAAAATAAAAGATGGTGGAGTGTGATAATAATTGAACTTAGTGTGGACACTTTCAATTTTTTTTTTCCTCTTGCACTCATTTGTTTTTCTTTATTTTATTCACATTTAGTGATAATACGTTTGTGGACTTATATGGAACACCAATTTTTTTTTTTTTTATTGTATAGTGTGCTTCGTTCTTCTTCTTCTCTCTCTCTATCTCTCAATCTCTTTCTTCTCTTCAATGCTCTCTTTCTCTCTCTAAGAAGCCATTTCTTTTCTCTTGCCAAGAAAAACCATCTAAGGTTTGTGTTTACCATCGTTTTCTCAAATCCATCAACACTAAGTTTCGTTTCTTGTTCTTGTTTTAAAGTTTGTGGATTTAGTTATTCTTCTTGTTCCTTCTCTTTGATCTCTTATTTAATTATAAGATCCAAATCTTGAAATCTACGAGATTGGTATGTGTGTATATCTATAGATTTACGAGTAAAAAAGATCACTGTTTCCTCAAAGTCTTTTTTTTGTCCTTCTTCCCGATCTTGGCTTTCATGTAGTTATGTTTTGGGTTCTTGATTTCAAGATTTTCAGATTTCTCTCCCCTCTGTGTAAATCTTAATCTAATCTCTTGTTGATTTATCAGTTCTTAAATCCATCTGCAGTCTTTGTTGGCTAATCAAGAATCTACCTCGTTTGTTGATTTTTCTTCTTCTTACAAATGTTTATGTCTTTAAGTTTATGAACACCATATCTATCTATCTGTTTGTTTAAATTACTAGTTGAGTTCATCTTAACTTTTGTTCTATTATTGTATCTGGTAGCTTCTTCATCTAATTACGGATGTCTTAATCTACTTTTTCTTATGATTACTCAACATAAAATAAACTCTCTCGAATCAGATTGGAAACTGAAACTTTTTTTGGCGTGCGAATAATTGTTCCTCTTTGTGAGATTTCACTTCATCAAATCAAAAAAAGAAAAAAAAATCTTTAATCCTAATTACTTTAGTGTGACTTCTTCTTCCACATGAAATAATGTTCTTCTACCAAGAAGATTTTCAAATCTGAGAAACATGTACTTGTGTTGTTTTTGCAGGAGTAAGATAAGAGTCAGACTTAGGTAGGTGATGATAAAGAAGATCTGGTGTTATGCGGAAGTATTTGGGAAACGAAGAGGAAGAGGCAAATAGTAACAGTGGAAGAATCAAATGTTCTTATCCACTGAGAACCCACCAAATGACCCACTTTCTTCTTCTTCTTCTCCTCCTTTCTTACATCTCCCCACTTCTTCCCATGAGTTAGGTCAATCCCATCTCTCCAATTTCTCCATCAGGTAAATTTTTCAACTTTCCCTCTCAGTCTTTTTTCTTTCTTTTTCTTCTTCTGGGTTTCTTCGCCCTTATGGTTTTCTCTCCAAAATAAAAGAAAAAAAGTCTCTGGATTTCATGATGGGTCAGTGTCAAATCTTAGCTAGAGATCCAAAGTTTTAAGCTTTCTTCTTTCTTCCTTGGTAGTGATTAATGGGTCAGTTTCTTTCTTCTTCCACCTTCTCTGATTTTGTATCAATAAAATCAACGTAGGTTTCCTTGTTCCCTATACATAGCTCAGTATCGTCAAACTTTGTTCCTTTTTAAGTTTTAAGAATCTTTTATGTTTAACTCTTTATCTTTAGAGTTTTGAAAGTTAACAACTTTGTTGTGTTATGCTTTGCAGAGATTACGCATATAGTAACCGGAAGAACAACATCAAGAACAATTGGCCATTTTCCTCAAAAAGTCTCCAACTTTTCTCAACTCATGGCATAACTGATCCTTTGCCACCGTTACAGAAAGTTTCCACCGTAAGTAACCAGTTTGAGACCAAGGCTAGTTCATCGTCGGGGAAGCAAATCGTATCCTATGTTCATCATGGAAGAGATTTGGCTAAACTTGGGTTGAATCAGACATTAGCAGAGACTAGTAAAGGAGGAGTTAGTAGCCAATCAAGAATCATCGAGAATGGTTTGTTTTCGAGTACAAGTGTTTCCAAGTCTGAAGTAGAGATAGTTGTAGCTGCTACAAGTAACAAGAAGGACAACCACAGTAAAAAGTGTGGAAGAGGGATGGTGAAATCTAAAGAAGATAGTTGTGGTGGCCTTGTGACGACTTCTGAATCAATAATGGCTTCAAAAACATGTCCTATTTGCAAAACCTTCTCCTCAGCTTCTAACACAACTTTGAATGCTCACATCGACCAGTGTTTGTCTGTTGACTCAGCACTGCCACCGGTTGTTAGTAGTAAGCCAAACAAGCCTAGAAGTAAGCCACGGGTGAAAGTTAAAACGATGGTTGATATCTACGCTTCTGCGAAAGAAGGCACATTAGAAGATCTTGATAAAAGAAATGGAACAAAGTGGGTGTCGATTTTGAGTTATACAAATAGAGTTGTTGCTGAGAAGTCTGAAGTGTCTAAGAAGCGGAAAGTTTCGCCTGTTGGCGTTGGTCCGGTTTATATTGATGCTAAGGGGCAGAAATTGCGGATTTTATCTGAGTTCAGCGAGAAGAAGACTTCTACTACTCCGTCGAGAGAACAGCATGAGGATGGTAGTGGTGGTAAGAAATGTTTAAGCCAAGGTAGTAAAGGAAACAATAAATGCTTGAGGAAAATTCGTCGAGTAAAGAAGCCTCACAAGTATGTTAAACTAACCAATCACAAAGCTAATGCTCCAGAGGTAATTCCATAGGTTGCTGTCAATAGTGTTTTTTTTTTTGCATATTCATTGTTGATCATAAAATAACAGCACATTGCTTTGTACAGCAGATACCTGGAGATCAAAGAGGTTTTTCTGGAGAAGGTAGTCACACTGGTCATCATAGAATCCATAATCAGCGGATGCTAGCGAAACGTGGTCTGATTTCGAAGAAGCTAAATGAGAAAGGACATGAATTATATGGTTTGCGGGATCAGCTATCGGATGATGAAGATACATGGTCAGGAGGAGATCCTACTGTGTTGAGAGGTACTGATTTGTTTGCCACAGATTCTTATCCTTTATATAAACAGAAGCTGGGGAGCGAAGTTGCTCGACCAAAAAAGGCTTTGTTTGGGAGTAAAAGTGCTCAAAGTCGTTCATTTAGAGTCCCTCAGAGTGAAAAAGAAGATGAGTCACTTGAGGGAATTCAAATAAACACTCTCCGATTAAAGAAGAGCATTGCTTCATTTCAAGAAGATAAGTATCCACCTGGAAAGAATTTCTGCTCAGATGCTGTAGATGTTTCAGATGCATCTCCTCGTGGAACTAGCATGAGAAAGTTTTCCCCACCTTTTGTACCAAATGCCTGGAGGCGACTATCTGTGCCTGTGGAGCTAAATAAAGCTCGGTTGGATTTCTCGGAGGAAGAAGATGAAGAAGAAACAGGGAAATGGGAATCTGAAATGACTCAAGAACGTGAGCTGCCAGATAATGATTATGTTTCTGGTGATAATGGAGAAAGAAATGAGGTCTTACTGAGATCAAATCCTTCATCTAGTGGTTACGATGATTATAATGATGATGACGACGAAAGTAGTGAAGAGGAAGAAGCTAATAACAAAAGAGCTCATGTTTTGGACAAAACTGATGATATGGGTGCTGAGTTCTACCAGTCAGACAGTCCACCATCTATTGAAATCTTACCCAGAGAGCGAGCAATGTATTACTCCGAAGTTGGGAATATGATTTACGGGCAAACCTCTTGCAAGGAGAATGAAAGGTTTGATTCTGTAGTTGGACAAGGAAGCTTATTTGTAGAGGTTGATACCATTCCTATTCCAGGACCTCCAGGATCATTTTTACCAAGTCCTCGAGATATGGGTTTTGATGAGAATCTTGGGAACTCGTCGGTTATCACAAGCCAGGTTCAGTCTTCCATGGATCAGCTTGACAGAAACTCATCTGAATCACCTGTTTCCGCAGTTTCAAACTTTGCAGCTGGTAGATTGAATTTTCCCGCAGAGTTATCTTCTACTTTCCGAGAAAATTTCTCACCGGATATTGCCATGTCCTACTCAACAACCTCGATGAGCTTTTGTGTTCCATCTCATCATGGGACAACCGAGGCTGAGCCAATTACCATTGACAAGACAACATTACCTTCCAGATTTAGAAACAATGATCAAGAGTCTTGTTGTTGCCAAAGAAAAGAGAGAATCTCCGAGGGCATTACTCGGAATCATCAAGGATCTCACTTGCTGCAGCGAAGAGCAGCTTCTTCGTCAATCACGATGAACTTAACTAATTCACCCACACGTTTGGATCCAAATCATCCATTTGAGCAGTCACCATACAAGATCCAACAAGCTTTGGATCTCCAGAGTAAGTTCTCCAGCAGAACGAATCCCAACGCCGTTGTGCCTCCAAGTCCTTCTAACCCGGTTTTAAGGTTAATGGGAAAAGACTTGATGGTCATGAACCAAGGAGAAGCAGATGAAGAAGCATCCCGGTCTAGCTTAACACCAACCCCTCAGTTTGTTGATCCTCCTTGTGGTGGAACTGGCTTATACTTCAACACAGGTCTCTATTTAAGAAACAGTTTCGAGTCAACACAACAACCACAAGCCCAAACCCAACCACAACCACAACCACAAGCTGCAGCATTCAGAAACAATTTTGATCATGTAAGATACTTTTCTCCGAGCTAGTCACCGTAAAGTTTCGACCTTGATGCAGTGTAAGAAGCAGCCGAGAAGTGGGTTCTCTTCGAAAACCGATCATCAAACATGGATGCATTCGGGTTTTAAGGTATCTACGGCATTTTCTATGCTTCATCTCTTTCTGCAGAGACTTTGTGTAGTTACTGTTTACAAAAGAAAAAGCAAACACTTGAAAATAACAAACACTCTGTAGAAGGATAAGTAACTTAAGGCTTTTATTGCCACCAAAGTTATCAAGTTATAGTTTATCTTTAACTTTTGGCTATTGTCAATGTTTTAAATGGTAATAATCCTTTTCTTCCACAAATTGCAGTAGAACTCAATCTTATAAAGCATCAAAGATGAGTAACTTTAGGCTTTTATTGCATGCAACCAAAATTGTCTAAAAGGTCAAAAGTTAGGGTGAAATCATGAACCTTAGACCAATATGGTTTTAACTAGATTAAAATAACCAAAAACTAATTTAAAAATAGAATTGGTTAATTCAATTACGATTTGAAATAGGTTTTGGCAAATGAACCGAATATACCGAACCGAAATCGAAGCAAAAAAAACCGAACCGAACCGAAAATTTGAAAATAACCGAATGGATACTAAATTTTATAACCGAAATAACCGTAACTGTACCGAACCGAAATATTTCGGGTAACCAAAACACCCGAAATACAATTATATTTTCAAAATAATTAGTTATTTATAGACCAAATAATAAAAATATTTGAAAAATATATAAAAATAATAAAAATACTCGAAAATAACTGAAATATATCCTAAAATATCCGAAAATACTCAAAAATAACCGAATGGATACTAAATTTTAAAACCGAAACCGAACCGAAATTTTAAAATATCCGAATAAATACTAAATTTTAGAACCAAAAGAACCGAAACCGAATGGATCCAACCGATAACCGAACGGATAACCGAAAGCCCATGCCTAATTTGAAAGGTTTAGGGTTTATTGGTGTGTATGTATATTTTAATTTTGATTTGTTAGATTAATTAAACTTTTTAAAATAATGTGTTGAAATTTGATTGGTTGGTGCAAAGAATAATGTAGTGGTTGACTAAAAAAGTCGTTAGACACACCTTTCTTTAATTACGGAGCCAGCCCCAGCTTTATCCACGGGTGGTATTTCGGGTCGGGTCAAACCGGTAAACGAAATCGGAAAACTCGCCGGAAGAATATGACTCCTCCTCCTCCGACAACAACCTACACATCAATTCCACTTCCTACCGGCGATGTCATCTCTCGATCAATCCATAATCTCACTTCCGCTATCTCTCGCCACCGTCCCTGGTCAGAACTAGTCTTCTCCGGCGATTTCTCTCTCCCGGAGAGCTTCTCCTCTCTTCTCCTCCGATCAAAGACGAATTTCAACTACTTCTTCGTCAACTACACGATCGTCGTCGCCACTTGCGCAGCGTTCGCTCTCATCACAGCTAGTCCCGTCGCGTTAATCGTCGTCGGCGTAATCATCGTTTTGTGGCTTCTCTTTCACTTCTTCAGAGAAGATCCACTTATTCTCTGGAGCTTTCAGGTCGGTGATCGTACGGTGGTGTTGTTTCTAGTCCTGGCTTCCGTTTGGGCCGTATGGTTCACTAGCTCCGCCGTGAACTTAGCGGTTGGTGTCGGCGTTGGCTTGCTATTGGGCATTACTCACTCTGTTCTTAGAAACTCTGATGAGCTTTTCCTTGAGGAAGATGATGCTGTTAACGGAGGCTTGATCGGGCCTAATCTCCAGTGACATATGTTTAATTTTTAGTTTAATTTTTGTTTGGTTTATTGTGATTTGTGAAATTGAGTGTGATTTAAAATCTGATTACTTGTTTGTTTTTGTTTGATTGCTTCTCACAGTGAAGGAACCAACTTGCTCTATCCATTTTTCTTCACATGATGTAACATCTGATTTTCAGATACAATGTATCAAGCGATATATCTCACAGCAGCTTTTACAAGCTTGAGACCAACTTGTTTAAAGTCACCGCTTTTAGTGTTTGACTATTAGTTAGTAGATACTAAATCTGAAAGCTTTAAGAGAGAATTCAAGGCCCCAAAAATTGAGTCATAACCTGCTTTTGCTTTGTTGGATTCTGACTAACTTGTGTTTAACCAAAACCAGATAAAAACCTAAGGTTAATTTGTATGACAAGTCAGAATTTTTAAGTCCTTTGAAAAGGAAACAAAAACTGAGCAGTGAACTCCGGGGACCAGTAACAGGAGAGGGGAGAGTGACACTTGTTGGCAAAACCCAGACACTGATTAAATTGCATGTTTACTAAACCCATACCTATTTTTCTGTGTTTGGTCCCAGCTTCTTACACGAGTATTTGTCCTTTTTCCAATTCTGTTTGTTAGTGAGATTGTGTTATCTCTTTTGTTTGATTGGCTAACTTATAAGGTAAAGGTTTTTGGCTTGAGAATTCAGTAGTGCATTGAATGTTGTTTTGCTTGAGGCTCTCTCTAGTTACACTCAATTAAAAAGATACTGTGATCAATAACGAAGTTGGTAATGTAATTGTTCTAAAAAGGTTTAAAGTAGCCATTACATGATTTGATGTCTTCAACAAAACTGAGCTTACAGTAATGTGGAAATAATAACCAGGAGAAATGTTTGGTCTGTTTCATATCTTGCTTCTCATTCTGACTAACTTTGCTAGTGTTTCTTGAGCAGCCAATGTGAGATCATGGTTATGGCCAAGCATCACTGTCCTGATACTGATACAAGTCCTGCATAGTTCCTCTCCACTATCGAAATGCCCGCCTCGTAGCAGCAGCTTAGCTCTTGTCTCCAGCAATAAAGCTTTTAACAATGTAACATCTTGCCACACGTATTCATCGACCTTCTTGTTAGTCTTCTTCTTCCAACAGAGCGAGCCTTGGCGCCAATCTTGTATCTGAGACACAAATGATTTCTCCACTTCCTCTAACACGTTGGTGCATACTTTTAAGAGCTCCAGCGCGGAGTTGCACCTCGAGAAGGTTGTGAAAGCTGTGATTGCTAAAGGAAGAGCTGTTCTCTTGATGTAAAGTACCATATCCATGGCTTGTAGTTGGACCAAAGGAGGTTCTGATTTGAATCCAAATACTAAGAAAGCTGAAGCCCATAGGTGATCGAGATTCAACAACGGGTTATCGATTTTCCTCACGCCTTGAACCGTCGCCTTTGGTGCAAGTATGTAGTCTCGTCTCCTCGCGAAAGTTTGAGTTATCGGATGGAACTGAATCCAACATCCAGGTTGTCTATTTGTTATCCTCGCTAGTCCTAATCTGACTAGTAAAAATGCAGCATCCTCTTCGCTTCTGCGTCCTAAACCACAACCACCACACCAAGCAAATGTGTGACTCAGACATTTGTTCCATTTGCTGAACCGGTTGCCACCTGTGGGCATGTTCTTAGCAGCTGCAGCTAACAAGTTAACCGGAATAGGGACAGGAGCAAACCAAGCTCCCACGAGTAGCATTTTTAATGAGAGAAGGTTTCTGTTTCCCTCAGCTTGCTCCAAAACAGCCAAACTGAATGCTAAGACCTTTGCAACAAATGGATTGGACTTGCAGTATTGTTCATCAATTACGTTTAGAAAAGGCGATGCTGAACGTTCTTCGATTTGAATTTTGTTTACAGCTTCAAAGAGTGCAGAAGGCGGAATTGCAAGCTCTGAAAGCAATGATCCAACCACCCAAAGACCATAGCTCAACCGTCCCAATTTCTCATCGAAAAGCTTGAGGACCTCAACCTCCTCCACCGGGTAATCTTTCTTTCTTCTTCCTCTCAGTAAAACCATTGCATCAGGCGAAGGCAATACAGAAAGCTGCACAGTGTCAAAGGTCATTACTTTAGGAAGTCTAGTAGTGATCAGGACATGTGTTCCTCCGGTGTTCCTCGGAATCAGATCATTTAGATCTTTCCCTTCCCACCAATCCTTCTCTATCTCAAGATTATCAATGATCAACAGATAAGGCATGTCTCTGAATAACTCACGCTTTATTCTCTTGAAAGCTTCAAACTCCTGCTCATCAAAGCTCCTTAGCCTACCTCTATCCTTCTCAGCATCTGCACTAACATCAAGCCCCAAGCTGAATGACAGATTCAACAGGTTCTGTCTGAAGTATCGAGCTTCCCCTCCGACCCACAAAACCATCTTATATCTCTGAGAATACCGGTAAGCGAATTCAAGGGCTAACTCTGTCTTCCCAATCCCGGGAACTCCATTCACGCAAACAACACTTGTGCTACTTTTGCAGTTACTATTGTTTCTATACTTCTTACTCTTCAACAGTCTTTTAAGCGAGTTTTTCCCACCATTTGGATCACTCCAAGCCTCACTTCTTGGCTCTGAACATTTTCCAAGCTCCAAGCTGATAAATTTCCCATTTCGAGTTGATACAACATCTGATTCCTCATCTGCAAGTCCTTCAGATTGTCCACTTGCTTCTCCTCTGGTGCTTGGTGTTGTAGACTCAAGATACTCTCCATTACCAAATAAAGCCATTTCCATTTCAATTATCTCCTTTTCTCTTCCAAGAAAATATCTGTTCCTCGGAAATGGAAGCTCATCAATCCCTTCCACTATCTCTTTATCAGCCACACTCTTCCTCCCAAGCTTTGCCCTGAGAATCGTCGCGGTCTTTCCCACACAGCTTCTCCAGTTACTCTCATTAGCTTCAAGTTTAAACTCATGTGACTTAATCAACCCATCAATGGCTTCTTTACACTCTTTATCTATGGCATTGCAGTTGAGAAGACCCATTATCTCAGAAGGACCAGTTCCATAGAAAATTGGAATCAAGTTCTTCTTTTGAGCAAAGAACCTAACCTCCTCCAAGCTAAGGTAGTTGAGCAAGCTGGAACAAGAGACAACCACAATCCCATAAGTAACAGAACAGATAACTCTGTCGGCGATCTCATGACTCTGTGTGTCCGAATACTTAGCTCTGTCAGCAACGAAACAAGCGATTCCCTGAAGCTCAAGCTCTGACTTTAACCATTTGCAGAATCTCACCAAGTTTGGGTTTTGTCCATGAAACCCAATGAAGACATCAGAGCTCCTGAGCTTGGTGTTAGTTGCAGGTGAAGAAACAGAAACTTTAGCCAAAGAAACCCTAGGAACAGGGAAAGAGAAAGAGATCCTTGGAGGAGCAGGATCTGGAGTACAAGCTGATAACTTGAGCTTCCGATCTGATGGTTGTTCATCAGAAAACTCGTACTGGTCAGAGGGAGGAGTGTAGGAGCTGCTAGGTACATCTTCAGATTGTGAGCCTTTGTAAGAGAGAGGCGGTGATGGCTTGTGAGTGGTAATGGGTGTAGTAGCTCTTGGGGATATATAAGGAGATTGCAAAGCGGAAACAAAAGCAGAAGATGGTGGGGACACAAGAGAAGGTGAATTGAAAGGAGAGTTTTTGATACTTGGAGATGAATCTGAAGCATTGTTATTTGTTTGAAGAAGATCTTTACCTTTCTTACTTGAAGAGCTTGCTGGTGATGAAGTTCTTATGGTTAATCCAACTAAACTTGCTTCTGCTTCTTCTTCTATTCCCTTCATTACTCCTTTTACTTCCTCACCAAACACAAATTAAACTCAAATGAAAGCTCTCACCTCTCAGCTTCAAAAGGTTATGTCTTTATCTCTCTAACTTGGTATGAATCATTATTGTGTTTCTCTGACAGATGATATTGAAGTGAGTGGGACTGTGAGGAGATGAGTCAGAACATGAATGCAACAGTTGATGTAGTTCAAGCAGATTGAGGTAAAATCTGAGAAACTGCATGTGATGTATCTAACTCTTCCATTTTGTGGGGTCCTCTTCTTCTTCTACAACACTGTTGAAACCCAATTTGTGTTTCTTTTCTCTTTATTTTATTTCTCCTCCTCTCTTACTTCAGATTTGACCAACACCACCAAGCTAGTTTCAGAGTCTCTGCAACAATGAAGGTCACGGGTCAGAAGAAAAAATCATTGCTTTACATTGAGTTGTGGTCTAATGTTCATCATCATCATCATCAAGATTGAATCTTTTTCTCTCTAGCTAGGACCAAGATAAAAAAAAGCAACATCTTATTAGTCAAATCTTTAAAGATGATTTCTTAAAGACTTACCCTTTTGTTTGATCTTTTTCAGACACAAGGCAAAAAAAGACGTGTCACTTCCCCTGCGTATTTTTTCATTAGTAAGCCTCTCTCTGTTCTACTCTCTATCTCTCTCTGTGCTTCAATGTGTTTCTTTTTCAGGAAGAGCAGAAGATTGTGATAATGAAGAGGGAGAAGAATCTTGATTTGTGAGTTGGATCTGAAAGTGCTTATGGAGATTAATTTTTGTTTGAAATAGTGATTAAAGAAATGGTTAAGAGAGAAGCAGCCTGGAGAGGGTTAATGTCTAAACATGTACCAATGTCATTTTATAATGATCACCCACTTAATCATAATTAACTTGATTTTATAATCTTGGATTCTCCTTTTTTCATGCTCTGTCTCTCTCTTTCTTCTCTCTGGAAATTTTAAATGAGTTTTTGTTTCTTTAGTTCCCCAAGAAGACTCATTTAGAGAAATACTTAAATCTAACATGGGTTACATGGGATTTAAGAGAGTTAAATAGAGAGACTCAGATTTAAGACATTGAACTTTGAGCTTAAAAGAGGGATTGAAGAAGTAGGAAACCATTTGTCAATTTTCTGAGTACTTTGGTTGTTTGTCGTCTACTGTTTGTATTTTGTGGTGTATAGAAAAACTCCAAACATTGTACTATATGGAGTATTGAATCTTATAATACTATCATTGCTGCAATTAATATGAGAAAACAGTACACCTAGAGAATATTTACGTAAAACATATACTTTTGGGTTATAAGTGAAATTCACTCCCACTATGTGATTGTTAACTAAGTTTCTAACAATACTAACATAACTAGATAGTACTAGGTCACTAGTATTTGACAATTTCCAAACATCTTCATTTTCTTATCAATAACGTTTTAGTCTCTAAATTTGATTTTTGAAACAGTAAAATGTAAGTTAGACTACTACTAGTATATTGTAAGAAAAACTCCAAATAATCAAGCAATTATCTCTTTTTAATTTAAGGGTGCATATATGTATGTGTATACTGACACAACATTTGAAATCTGATTTCACAGTGGGAATTGGTCCAAGACCAGTCCACTTGTGACTTTTTATTTATTTACCCCACACATTTTCACATTTATCTACAATCATAAGGACTTAAAAAACACACACACACACAAATGAGTAATGACAAAAGCAAACAAAACAAATTACCATCAAAATCTTGGACTGTGTGACGACGTATGAACAAAACAAGATTGATTATTCTTTTGTACTAGTTAAAAAGATGGATGTGGAAGCGTTTGACAAACGCTAAAGGATACGTATTGTTGTTTTCGGATCAAGAAAACAGCAACCACTGTAAACGCCCAAAAACATATTTTAAGTTATCGAGGTAAATTAGTCAATTGCTTGAGATTATACTTATTAAATTCCTAACGGTGTATCTCACACCGTTGAATTTTAAATCCGACCAGATAAGATCATGTCGAATCGAACGGTCATAAACCATCCGAGTCGTTGCTGAAGTAACCAACGGTTTCGCCACGTGTCCCGACCAAGTCGCTCACACGTTCGTATATTCTCTTAATTCGAACAAAAAAAAAAAGGAAACAAATCAAATTTTGTGATCGTGACCGGGAAGAAGATTTGAGCGATTTTTCGCAGCGAAACTTTCCACAATCAACGGAGAAGATCGGCGAATCGTATAATCGAATTTAGGGTTTTGATCTCTCTGTAAAGGAATCACCTTTGGGGGGGTTTTGCGTTCCATTTTTAGGTACGTCAAGCTCCAACATTTCGGTTCAATTCGCGCCTGTTCTATGTTGGATTTGATTTTTCCAATCATTGGGTCTCTTATATGTGATCAATTTCTGTTGAATTTGACGTATGATTGAATTTAGAGAGACTTTGATTTGATTTTTGTTTTCTGGGTTTCGTTTTGAATTTTGGTTTTATTGAATTTTCCTTACTGGAATGTTGGTTTCTGCTCTTGAGATTGATCCCATGTGAATTTGGAAGATGAAAAGTTAGTCAGGTTTGAGAAATTTTGTACCCTCAGTCATGGATTTGGAGAGTGAAAGCTCTGTTCTTGAATCTGTTGAAGATAATAATGGTTTGATTGGTGAAGTTGAGACTATTGAGAATAAACTGGTCTCTGCTTCTTCTACTGATCTTGATAAAGAGGTGAATTCACCGGTTGAGATTTCTCATCTTATTTCCAAAGGATTTGGTTTAAGAAAATGGAAGAGGAGAATAAGGAGAGATCTTGTTAAGGATGATACTTCTGCGAATATGGAGAACAGTAAAGTTCTGAAGAGGGTGTTGTCGGGGTTAGTTGATCCGAATGCTAAACACATGCATTTGCCGGGACCGGATGTTAGACAAGATAGTGTTGGTTCGGTTGGCTCGGTGAATAGTGTGGTTGGTTTTGCAATAGGTGGGGATGGCCATGGCAATGGTCTTGCTTTTGCAGCTGGTGTGGATTCGGATAACAGTGAGGATTGGAGTAGTAAGTCATCGACTGCAGCCAGCGGTCCCAAGGTTAGGTACGAGAGTACAGTGGCTCATTCTTGGGACAAACATAGAGGGAAGTATTCGGGTGGGAAGAGTGTGATTAGTTCGGGTGATAGTAGTCAACAAAGGAAGAGTAATGTAGAGAAGAGTAAGAAACTTAGAGGAGAAAGGATCAAAATTGAGAAGGAAAACTCTCATTCCAGTATGGAATCTGCTGACTCAAGAAGCTCCAACTTTGTGTTTATGCAGGGTGCTTTCTATAGTTTGAGTAGCAGAGAACAGGGCGGAAGAAGAATGATGGATTACGACGAAGAAATTAGTGATCATGACGCTCATACTTCGAACAGAAAGGATAACGTGGGAGACGAAGAAGAAGAAGGAACCGAAGATTATTCACAAGGAGACTCTGTTGAAGAGTCCCAAATTAAGAACAATGGTTCATCAGACAATCTGGATCCATTAATAGTGGCCTTCAACAGTTTCCATACTTTGCAAGAAGCCCTCCAAAAAGGTATCAATTTCATAATACGATTTTTCATTTGTAAAATGATGGTTGATGCATTGTACTAGTCCTGATCAACTAAAACTTGAATGGTTCTAACACTGGTTCCTTATAATCGTGTGTAATATTAACATGATTGTGTATCGAGTTTAACTGAATTTCTGTTCTTTTTCGATTTGCAGAACTTCAAAATTTACAAGAGCTTGGGAAAGAACCTATAACATCACTACATGATGGAGGAGAAAGTAGCAGTTGCATACATGTGGGACCCGAACGAGCTAGTGAAGCAAGTTCTTCTCACCGGTTTGGGTCTAAAAAGATGGGAGAAACAGGATTAACTTCTCTAGATTCCGAGCTACTAAACCTGGTGAACAATGTAGAGCATCTGGAGATCAAACTAGGAGAAGCAAAGAGTATTCTAAAGGTCAAAGAAACACAAATACGTGAACTCGAATCTACCATAAGCGTTTCAAAGACGCATAATGGAGGAACAGAGATCGGGATCGAAGAAATCTTCCAGCAAAAGATGGAGGCAGAGATTGAATATATCATATTCTCAAGATCAGTGGGAAACTTAAAGAGACGGATCAAACTGATCGAAGAAGAGAAGACATTGGGGCTATCAAAGCTTGAAAAAGCAGAAACAAAAGCTGAGAATCTAAAGCTTCAAGCTCAAGATTTACAAAACCATTGTGTAGCGATCACAGAGATTCAAGAAGTGGAGTTCTTGAAGAAGAGAGTATATAAGACCACTAGATGTCTTCTTCTACAGTTGTGCTTGCTTTTTATGCTGTACTATTTCATGTTACCAGAGTCGGAGATTGATGTTCCCACATGATAGTTTTGTTTGATGGAATCTGTTTTATTTCTTTTGTATTTATATATATTGTAACATCTTCGGCTCCAATAGACCAACTCTTCTTTGCTTCTTCTATGTTTTTCTGTGTGCAGCAATGGCATGACGTGTATAAATTGTTGCCTTTGTCAACTTTGCCATCATTTTCCATTATTTCTTTCTTTAGTAAATAAGAAATAGAAGATAAGCTATTTAAACACACGAGTGAATTTTTGTACACATTCTCATGAAATGAAAATTTGCACATAACCTTTAAATAATTTGAGTCGGTCTTAATGTATATATTTGTTGTAAGCTCTTAAGATTTTATAAATAAGAAAAATTCAATATAGTTGTGTGAATATTGTCTAGTGTGTTGTTTGTGATGACACATAGAAGTGGTCTTATGTCATTAGCTGCAAGTGAAGACTTTTGACAATTTGACTATAAACACAGCCATCTTAATGTTGGTATGTTCCAACAACACTTAACAATGCCCACGTCTTGAAGAGTTTTAGATTTGCAAACCAATAATCAATTTGTTCAATATACTTTAAAATAAAATAAAATTTATGATTCATCTTAGACTCACTCATAGGTGTCTTAATGTGATAATCTTTGGATTTGTAAACATCCATATCATTTACAATGTTGGGACCTACCATAGTTTGGTCTCTTTTCTTAGTGTAAGAGAATTACATTTACTTAGAGAGATTTGATTCTTCTTTCTTTCTATCTACTTAGCTCAGCTAGCTGTTGGTGTGTTTCAAATCTCAAATTTGGGGTATGTAACAATTGCTAAGAAATTGTAAAAAAAATACCACACTGCAACAACTCGAACTATATAATAGATCATAGCATTTTTTTTAGTGGAAATTAAATTTGTACATGGTCTTGCTTAGAGATCCACTATTCTACAAACATAGACTAAGAAAATGTCAATTATGTTTGTCCTAGAGTTCGGTATTTCAATTAAATAGAGCAACTAATATTTATCATCATAAATTTATGGAGAAGCCATTTGTTTGAAAAAAGAAAAGAAAGATAAGATAGTGAAATGAATAAGATGGTTTTACTTTATGGAACTTTGGTCAATTAAACTATCATGCTTTATGTGAATCCAAAAGCATAATAAAAGAAAGAAAGAAACATAACAAAGCTTGAGAGAAGAAAACAAAAGAGTATATATATCCTCTCATCAAATCAAATTAACAAAAGACCCCACCAAATTAAGATTAAAAGCCAAGCACTAAAAGTACCATAAGAACCCAAAATCAAAATATCTTTCTCTCTTTCTTCTTCATACTACGATGTCAACAAACTCCTTTTTACCATCATCAGCTCCTAATTTAATAAGTCTTTTTCTCTCTCTTTTTTTTTAAATTTAATGTTAAAAAGCTTGCTTGCATATATACGTCTCTTAGACTCTTTCTTCTCCTATTCTTCTTCTTCGTTAGGTGGCAACTCATTCAAGTCAAACTCCAAAAACTTTCTCTTCAATTTCTTCACCTCTTGCACTGTCTCTGTTACCTGACTAGAAGAGGCTCCTGCAGGAGCAGTTGGAGCAGAGGTTGGAGCCGCGGTTGCAGCCTCAGTAGAAACTGGTCCAGTCCAATGACATCTCTTGTGACCTCCAAGAGCTTGACCTGTTGAGAAGCTTTTATGACATATATTACAAACATGATCTCCATTATGACTACTGCTTAAAGATGTGTTTGATCCTTGAGCACTAGCTAAACCGGTTGTTATTGCTTCAGTTCCAAGTAATGAAGCTTCAGCGTTTGCCCTGGCTTGATGATTCTCCAATATCTTGACCTTGTTGTGACTTGCTCTATGACCTCCTAAAGCTTGATAAGAACTAAACGACTTGTTGCAAGTCACACACACGTGAGAATTCTCACGTGCACCGGCACCACCACCTTCCTCAGCTGCAACAACAACCTGATCAAGCTGATGATCCTGAGTAGATGTTGATTCTTTTTCCATCTCAGACAATCTTTTCTGCTTCTTCTTCCTCTTCTTGACCATTTCCAGATATTTTTCTTCAACGGAATGCGAAGCAGAAGTCTCCGCAACATTAAGATTAGCAGCTGCTTCTGCAGTAGTAGCTAAGAACAATAGACCATTAGCATCATCAATATCCTTCACATCTTCCGGTGATGGATCCTTCAAATCCAATTCATCAAACTTCAAAGCACTTCTACTTCCTCTCTTCCCTTTTGTTGACCATCCTTTAATCGGTTCAACAACGTTTTCCAATTCCAAATTACTGTCCCATAACTCCGAGTTCTCATCATCATCATCATCAAAATCATCATCATCATAATCCGAGCTTATAAACTCATCATCATGATCATCAATAGAGAGTGTAGAAGACGATGAATTACCGAGTGGATGAGGAAGAGGAGGAGGCAAAACTCCTTTCCAACCTCTGTCTGGATGAAACCTCATGTGTCCATACAAAGCCTTCATTGATGTAAACTTCTTGTAACAAACACAACAAGCCACTTCTAAGTCACCTCTTTCAGATCTACCAACCATACCAGACACCATCTTTGGTCTCATCATTGAGAATTTACGAGTTTCGAGCGCATGAATCCGTTTATGACCTCCTAAAGCTTTACCTGACACAAACCTTTTACCACATTCACCACATATATGCTTCTTCTCTTCTTCTTCTTCTTCTACTTCTTCCACATCTCCTTCCTCTAGATCCATACTCTTAGCTCCATGATCATCTTCTTCTTCTTCCTCGAGAGCTTCTTCATCTTCGTCTCTCTCTTTACCTTTTTCAGCTATACAAGGTTGGATCCTTGGGATTTTAACCTTCATAGATCCGAATCTCGGTTTCCCAAGTGAGAATCCACAGTTTGTTTTGTAACCTCGTAAGTGTTCCATCGCCTTTGAAGCTTGAATCCACACAAAAATTATACCAAACTCTGATCAAAGCTGAAACAGATCTACCAGCTGATAAGACTAGGGCTTCTCCTATACAAATACAACCTTAGTGAAGAACACAATCTCTTTAAGCTCTCTCAAACTCAACCAAATCTCAAAGCTATGAAAATCTAAAAAGCAAGAGAAGAGAAGTTTAAGAAGAAGAAGAGGCAATAGAGAGAAAATAACAAGAGGCTATAGGCATAAGAGTGAGGAAGAGTCTGTATTGTGCCTCACGTTTTTGGATGAATAGTCTCTATTTATTTATTCACAATATATATAGATAAAAACAAGCTTTTTTTATTTAAGTTATTATAATTAAATGTTTTTAGTTCTTTTTAGCCACTTAGCTACTTACCAAACCATACAAGATATGACTTTAATTTTATTTACTTAAGGTTTTGTTTGACTGTTTGTTTTTACAAAACGCAATCGTTAAGTCTTTGACTAGTAAACACTTTTTTATGGTAATTTTGTAAAGCAAAGACTATTATTAGTTTGTGGTAATTATACTTTTTTTTTTTGTTATAATAATGTTTCCATATTTTTTTCCTTTGGGTAGATTCAAAGGGTATATTTATGATTGATTCAGTTTCCTAACATATGGAAACGCCAAACGTGGTTTTTGGTGTTTCTAGGCATAAAGTTGAGTTCACGTTTTGGTTTAGAACCAAACACGTCGTAATCGATCGTGCTTTAGGGAATAGTAAATGCTAAATAGGTGATTAATTGCTATTTATCTTTTCGTGGGCATTGCAATTTATGGCAAATAAAATCAAGATTTTATTTAAAGACCAAAAGATAATAAAAAATCAAGATTTTATTTGGATTTTCATTTATTTATTTATTGTTGAGATATCTCCTTGCATCAAAAGAAAATCTTTTTGAGTAAGATTCAAAAGGGTTTGTTAGTAACACAACAAATAAATTATTTGGATACTTATCCTAATTTGTAATTAAATCTTCAAAAAACTAGCATTCTTAAAAATTATAGTTCCAAGTATCACGATGACTCACTTTCCTAACTCCAAGTTAAATTTAAATTTATTTGAGTATCCGGAGAGTAAAAAATTCATTGACCAAGCGAACATTGAGGTGATGACAAGTTAGGGTCTATCCATAGACTGTATCACCCCCAAAGATTAGTCTGAGTCCATTCATAGGCCTAGATCTACTATGAGTTATGAAAAAAAATCCAGGTAAAGTTTCATTTTTTAAAACCATATCTAAAATGCATTAGCTTGGTATCATTTAGACTTTTAGTTATCTCAAGCATTTTTTACTACTAAGAAAATATTCTCTAGTCCATTGATCTTCTTCATAAGCATAACAATCCACCTGTCAAAATAAATAAAAAACAGAATAATCCAACTAAATCATAAGAGATCTAATTATAAATATATATTTCCCAAAAAAATCATATTTCATATCTATTTTCTAATTTCTTAATCATTTTATCATATGTTCTTCTCTTTTCTCTTTTACCTTTTTAACCTATTCAAATAATAAAATATCATTTTCCTTATTATATATGACTTTCCATTTATTCTTTTCTATATTTAATAAAATAAAAGTTGTATTACAAACACATTCAAAAGTATATTAACTACTAGATATGTACATATATTACACAATCTCAAGAATACTCTCTAATAATAAATCGAGTCCTTCTTTAGTAAAAAAACATCAAATCTATTTTCATATTAAAATATTATTTTCTTGGATATTATTTTTGGAGTTTCTAGTTAGATACTAGAAGACCAATTAGATTTTTGTTGTAAAAACTTTTAGTAGAGATTTTGGAAGTGAAAAAAAAATAACAGATTAGATGAGAAAATACTGAAAAAACTGTTAAATGTTTTTACAGTCTTAACAGTGCGATGCCAATCACCTCCTAGAAAGGAAATAGATCTTTTTCCACTCCTACATATAGTTTTTATTAGTTCCTTATAAAAAAAATAAGTTTATGATTTACTATGGATTTTGTTCTCACTCAGTTAAACAAGAATTTACGATTAACAAGTTTTGAATGAAAGAATGTTAGCCTTTATTGACCCGTAGTAAGTAAAAATACTAACAAGAGATTACATAAGATTTTGAACCAAATTAAAGAGCTGAGAATTAGTGGCCAAAAACTTAGTAGTGGAGGGCCACTCCTACTAGTCATGAGAGATGTAGGCTTAATTAAAAGTTAAAAACAATAAAAATAAAAAAGGAGGTTCCATGTTGGTTATCTCGTCTTTTCTATGTTCCTTCCCTGTTGTTTAGGACTATGTTTCTCTTGTTTGGGCTTTCGTCTCCGGAGATATCTCGTTTTTCTGCCGCTTTTAGCTTTTCACCTTGGTTATAATCAGTTTCCTTGTACTTTGGGGCTTTGCTTCCCTCTTTTTGGGCTAATGACTCTGGGGACATTTCTGTTGTCCGCCGGCATATGTAATTTCAACTTGTATCCGTTCTTGGTTTAATAATAAAATTCAGACGACAAAAAAAAAAAAGAAGGAGGTTTCATATGAGTTAACGAATCCAAAATAAATCCTCTATATAATCACTGTTAGCTTAACAACTTGTAGTAGATGTGGAGTGATTTCATTTGCATTGAACTGCAAAAAAGATGGAATAAGTGAAATCACACAGCTAATTAGTTTTATACAAATCGACTTAAGACCTAATTCTGTATATATAAACACATTTTTGTATCAAATGTAACACACATACAAATAATGTAAAATCAATCGATGCTTAGGCCATATATTACAAATAATTATACACTCTTAAGAGAATATTCTCGTAACGATATGCAATTGAATTGATGATGCTTTTGGCCATAAATAATGGGCCAAAATATATGACTCTTCCCTTTTTTTGGTTAAAAATCTTCGAACCAAATCTAGAAGATTTTCGAAGGGATTGAGGTTTGACTTATGATCCCAAGACAAATTCCCAAGTTCATGGAAAATGTACATTTTTAAAAGCACAACAAATTACACAAATGAACAGCTTATGAATCGAACCATGGTCTCTCTTTTTTCTCTTTGTGGGTATGGTTATGAATAGATTACTTTTATGTAAGTTTTTTTTAGGCTTAAGCTTCGTTTTCCATCAAAGTAATGAATCGAGATAAGTGTAGTCTCTAGCTCGACCATACTCCAAGAGACTTCCATAAGTCCGGTCCCAAACACCGATGAAGAGAGATTCAGTATCTGGACTAAACGAAATCCCAGAAATCTCTCCAAAGAAATCAATCTCTTGCTCCTTTTTGTAGCCTGCTTTTATGTCATAGATATGGACGAAATCAGCTGGCTCCGCCATTGCAACGTACCGTCCGTCAGATGTGAACCTAATGGATCGAACGGCTCCGAGGTTACCTTTTAGGACAGCGACTGATTCCGAGAGTTTCCTTGTGTCCCAAATACGGCAGGTCTTGTCTTGGTTTCCTGTGGCAAATGTTACACCGTTTGGATGCCAAGCTGATGCAAATGAATAATCTAAGTGACCTTTTAGCGTCCCGATTGTCTGAAACAAAACTCAAAATCATAAGGCTCCAAGACCTAACCGCAGTAAAATAGAATAATAGACGGTGCAGGGAAGAAGAATGTTAAGTACCTGTCCGTTGCTTGCGTCTACCAGTAGACCATCTGGGTCATCTCCAACGACTGCTACTAGTTTCCCATCAGGACTTACGGAGCTATGCTGTTAAAATTTCCAAAACAAATTTGTAAGATTCTAACTTTGTGAGATTGAGTTTTAATTAGCTGCAGCTAGCTGAAAAAATGAGAAACTAAGTGAGCTTACATTGACGGGCCATAGATAACGGAAGAGTTGGACAAGCTTATATCTCTCCATGTCAAAGTCTCTGACTCCACAGTCATTATTTGAGGCCATGAAATGAAGTGCGCCACTAAATAATACCGTATAACTAGTTTCAGTTTCTGTTCGCCATATCGACTAACCTTGGACGTTGAAAACCAAATTTATTATGAAAGCCAAGAAATACCTGGAGTTTCTATATATATCTACTGCATTGGTGATAGCGTTTTCGGTATAAGTTGTGCGTGAGCAGAAGCTCACACCAGGTCTATCGAGATGCTGGTTGCAAGGGAAAAAAAAACACAAAATTAGAACATGAATAAGCAACTTCTTTGGCATTTTAAATCAATGGAAAGAGACTTCATAGAAGTTGGTGGAAACACCGCGGTTTGCTCTCATCCTCAATATCCATTTTCAAAGCTTCTAAACTAACCTTGCAAATGATTTCTCCTTGAAATCCACCAGCAACTAGCAGCCTATCTTTTACTGCAAGAGTGCTAACTTGAGTCTCTGTAAATCCTTCCAACAGACTCTCAGGATGTTTCTGAAAGATAAGGAACATTGGCTTTAGATAAACCCAGCAGAGACAAAAGGAAATCACAAGTCAAATTAATTAGATGGTTTCGATAAGACTTAAGTAACAAACCTCAGACGGAGCCACATGACCTTTAACGTTAAGAATTTCATTCCTACAACCTGTCAAAGAAGACCAGTGGCTGATGGAGTAGTTGGACAATAGATAAACATCATGTTTTGAGGTAGCCCAAACCAAATTCCTCAACTGCAACAATGCAGCAAAAATTAATTCAGTCTAACTATGATCAGCTTTCCATGAAACTGTAATTCCATCAGCAATACTAGCACAGGGAAGGACTACATTTGAATTTCCACAAAATTGTTGGAAGCATAACAGAGACAGGGGTTAAGTAGTGCACTCGGCAAACCTGAAAATGGAGAATTGTTGATCTCACTGATCTAGAATTCCTCCTGAACTCATAGAAAGAGCTGCCTTTCTCAGTATTCATACATTTCTGGTTCCAGTAGACAAGACTAAAGTGAGAAAAGATCAACATAGGTACATCTCCTTATAAATAACCTTAAAAAGAAACATGAAATGCAATTCACCTTCGCAGATTCCTCACCCGAATTGGGTATATTTTCATAGTTTTTATACTGTTCTAGCCTAGTTTTTCTGTACTCTTTTCTAGTAGTGTTAAGTCTATCCCACGGTATACCCTGAATATCCTTCCCATTTCGTGCTTGTGCAGCAGAAGTATCTGCAGCCTTGTTCTGAAAATACTCCATTATGTAATAAGAAGAATATACAGAGAACACAGAACTGAAGAGTATGAGAAAACAGAGGAAGAACACAAACCAATTGGTCGAAATCTTCGACTTCAGAATCAGAAGAAGCATCGATATCTCTTCCATCAAACTCAGCATTCATATCATCCTCGAGATCATCCATGTCATACTCATCAGCCATATATTCATCTTCAAGATCATCACCATTGTAATCAGACATGGTGTGAAGACAATTCAATCACAGAGATGATGATGAAACAACTTCCATTAAACAAAGGGAAACAGAACAAACCAAAGTCAGCCATATCTTGACCTCCAATATAAATTAGCCAATTCCACCTTCCAAAAAACCCTGCAATATAAAAAAAATCACAACCATGCAAATTCAGCTATAATCAAAATTCACAAAAAAAAAAAAAAAAACATAGTTGCAAACATTAAAACAATTTAGAACTCATATTATATTAGAATCCTCCATGAAAATACGGGTTCTTAATTCTAAATTACGCTTACCGCAAAATTCACTTCTCCATAATTCAATAAAATTGCAACGCAAAAAAATGAATAAACCCTAAAAAGCCAAAACAAAAATCAATATTATTTGATCTCGTGCACTAAACCCCTATGTTTGAAACAAACAGGAATTAAAAAAATGGATTACTAATTGGATTAGATCGTCGTCTCAAACCCAGAAAACCCTAATATTAGTGGTTTCGAGAAAGAGAGGTTTCACCAGAAAAAATAAATAAAAATGAGAATTAATTTTAAAATATGTGAGGAAAATCGAATACCAAATCTGGTAACTGGGTTGAGAATTGACGCGATTTAGGTAAGGAATCACCGGATCTGAGGATTTAATTTATATACACAGCTTCTCCAAAAAAAAATCTAGGCTCCATATAAAAAAAAAAAAAAGTTAGTTAATCATTTTGGAGGAAAAATGACCTATTTTTCCACGAAAAGTATCGCATCACGACGGATACAGTCCAAGTATGATCCCAATTTATATATCTCCGAAACAAAAGTTATATACCTATTTCCTTCCGAAACAAAAGTTCTTTATCTAAATCTCCTCGAATTAGTAGCTTTAGATCTATTAATCTACATTCATGAGTTTTATCGGTTTACTATTTAATAGATCTGAAACTATTAATTCGAAGAGATTTAGATACATAATTTTTTTGTTTCGGGAGGAAATAGATATATATATATATATAACTTTTGTTTCGGAGATATATAAATCGGGATCATACTTAGGCTGTATCCGTCGTGATGCGATACTTTTCGTAGAGAAATAGACCGTTTTTCTCATTTTGCATCATATACTATACACGTCAACTAATTAGTAGCCAATATCTAATAACCACGTGTCACCTACATCATCGAATTGTTTATTGTTGTCAAATTGATTTTAGATTTAAATTTTTTTTTTAACTCAATTCACACCTAGATCTGAACAAAATACCGGACCGGAATTAAGAGGTATCGAACCAAACCGAAATAAATATCCTAACATGACCTAGACTCTTATATGCAAATAAATATCTTTACAAAATTCAAACCAAATCGAATGGGTACCCAAAACATACTCAAAATATAAATATAAATCCAAAAATTAGTAGTTATATATATTTATTTTTGTTGGTATATTGGATAGATGTGAATTATAACACTTTTAAAGTACTCTTATTCTTAAAAGAGGAACCAAACGGTCAGGACTAGTAACAACACTCTTAAAAGGAGGTGGACTGTTAACAAAATTTGGTCAGTGTGAATTATAGAAGTGGATTTTTTTTCTTAAAATTGAGCACGAGATCTTGACCACTTGGAATTTTTCCCCATTGGGCTCACAAAATAGAGTCGGTATCAAAATCCTACCGCGCTATTGGACACGTGTCATTACCTCAAAGAGTCCACGTCAGTCAGTCTCATCCCAACTATAAACGTCACAACTAGGCCTGGCGTTCGGATATTCGGGTCGGGGTTTTCGGGTTCGAGTTTTTTGGGTTTAGAAAACTAAGATCCGTTCGGGTATTTTAAAACTTCGGGTTCGGGTCGGGTTCGGATCGGATATTTCAGGTTCGGATTCGGGTTTACCCAAAGTATCCAAATATTAGAAATTTTTTATCCGATTCTATGCAAAGTATTGAAAAATACTCAAAAAATCTATAAAACCCAACTATTTTAACTCGAATCTAACCCAAAGTAGCTAAAACACCCGAAAATATCTTAACATCCGAATAATTTAGGCACTTAGGTTATTACAAATATAAATATTACTAATATATTATAACTATGTACTTATATTTTGGATATGTTCGGGTACTTGTTCGAGTTCGACTTCGGATCGGGTTCGGGTTCGGGTTTTCGGGTTGTGAAGTTTAGAACCCGTTCGGATATTTTAAAACTTTGGGTTCGGGTTCAGATCGGATTTTTTGGGTCGGGTTCGGTTCGGTTCTTCGGGTTCGGGTATTATGCCGAGGCCTAGTCACAACAGTGTACTCTCCTATCGATTTAATAAAAATAAGATAAAAAGAAAAAAAAAACTGCCGTGTTATCAAAATTTTCCTGATTCGTTTTCTCGGGAAAATTTCTGATCTTCTTCTCCAAAACCACAAATTCGAAGATGATTCTTAGGAAAGTATGGGGATCGGTGTGGAACCGATCGAATAGTGGCAAAGATTCGGTGTGTCATCAAAGAGCGATGACTCATGTTGCTCCTCCTCTGTTGTTGTCTTCTTCTTCGTCTCTTGGTGCGTTTGATCAGCTACCAATGGATATTCTAGTTCAGATATTGATGATGATGGAGCCAAGAGATGCTGTGAAATTAGGCTTAACTTGCAAAACCTGGAAATGTGTAGCTGCTGGTAATCGTCTCTGGATATTCTATCTCCAGTGTTCTCAAGAGCCATGGGACTCCATTTTCTTCGCTGAAACTAGTTTGCGTTCTGGTTATCCTCTCCGGTTAGTTTTTTTGCTTTGATCGATAGAGAAATAACACTGTAGATAGATTATTCAAGGTTTAATGATTTTTGCAGAATGATTTCTAGTCAATCAGGAGAGTTGTCGTTTATGCACATTTATAGTCAGAGGGCACAAGTTCCTGGTTCTATCATTATCGATGGTATGCTTCGTGTTTTTTGCATAGTAATTTCACATGAAGAATGTTTCATTTTCTATTTGTGTGTTGTAATGAAGGTGGTTCTGGATATTGTAAGTTTGGTTGGAGCAAGTATGCTTCACCTTCTGGACGTTCTGCTACTTTTCTGGTGAGATAATTGTTGTACTAAAGCAGTTCATTTTTATGATTACAAAGATAATAAGCTTGCTTGCGTCTTCTCTCTTGCAACACAAGATAGTTCTTACTAGTTTGATCGATCGCCAGGAATTTGGTAACATTGAGTCGCCCATATATGCTAGACTTCAACATTTCTTTGCTACCATTTTCACCAGGTTTGTTTGAGTGATAGCTGAATGATTTTAGCCTATGGCTTTCGCGTTCCCGACTTCATGTGGATAGTTTTTTTACAGGATGCAGGTGAAGCCCTCTATGCAGCCAATAGTGGTATCACTACCTCTCTGCCATTTTGATGGTTAGCTACGGTTATTATACTTGTTTATCTTCAGGATTACATCTCGTGGTTCCAGTTTTAAGGTTTTATTAAATTTGGTTATCAGATACTGAATCGGCCAAGGCATCGAGGCGGCAACTTAAGACTGCTATCCTCAATGTCTTGTTTGACATGAATGTTCCTGCAGTGTGTGCAGTTAATCAGGTGAACCTTGTTCACCGCTTTCTGATGACTACTGCTCCAATATATCAGAACTCTTGCATTTCAGAGTAGTGTTTTTCTCAGAGAGATTTATTCACCCTCTCCATAGCCACATTTTCCACGGTTTAAGCCAGTAGGCCATTACATTTAATAGAATTTATTGGCGAAAAATTGATTTTTGGGGGATTTGATACATTATCTCACCATTAACGAAGGTTATGCACTCCTTGTCAAATGATTGACTATGTTACTATTACAGTCATAGGAAGATTATGAATAATATGTGCTCTATTTCCAGGCTGTCTTAGCTCTATATGCAGCACGGCGGACGTCTGGAATTGTTGTCAACATTGGTTTCCAAGTCATCACCATTCTTCCAAGTAAGCTGTTTTCTCTCTACGATTCAACTCTTTTTGTATCTTCTCAGATGTTGTTTAACAGCATGGTAAGCTTTCTAGCTTTAGTCACTCACGATGTGGTTCTTTTTGTGGAACTCTGTCGATGAAAGATGAAAATGTGAACATTTCAATTTGCTGAAAAAAATCCTCGTGTATCTCTCTGATTCTTTCTGCACCATTCACTGCTGTCTTAACAATTTACTTTTTCCGGGTGTTCTGCAGTTTTGCAAGGTAAGGTGATGCGCCAGGTAGGTGTAGAAGTCATTAGTTTTGGAGCATTGAAACTCACGGGCTTCCTTAAGGAGAAGATGCAAGAGAACAACATTTCCTTTCAATCACTCTACACTGTTCGTACTCTTAAAGAGGTATTACCCTTGACCAATAATTCTCCGCAAATAACTTGTAGGTTTCTATCTTAAATGCCTCTTCAATAAGCCATCAAACCCAATGTGTTCATAGCGCCTTGTGAACTTCAACCAGTTTTGTATAATTACCGAGATAATCCTTGAAGGCGTTGGATATGTGCAACTCATGCACATGCATTAGTCCATAGCACGTTATATTGGAAGTTACTGAGTATATTCTTTTTATATGATGCTTTTCTTGTTGTTTTGCGAATGTAGAAACTGTGTTATGTGGCTCTTGATTATAAAGCTGAACTTTCAAAAGACACACAAGCTTCAGTGGAAGTTTCAGGTGAAGGATGGTTTACTTTGTCAAAAGAGCGTTTCCAAACAGGGGAGATATTATTCCAACCACGTCTCGCTGGAATGTAAGACCTGCACTACTTATTACCATAACAGCAAATCTTGACGGCTCTCTTAAGAGATTTGATCTAATTAGCTCTGAAACTAAAATTGAATCATCGGATTATATAGTATAGTGCAAAAACTTTATAAGTTCCACGATTTTCCTCATGACTCTTAAATTACACAATTGTAATACTGTAAGCTGCATGAATCAGGGCTAGGCTATTTTCCTGTGAAGAGTCTCCATATTTTTGGCCAATATAATAATTTAGTTTTGGATTGGTTTTTGTCTTCGCCAAAACAGGCGTGCAATGAGTCTGCACCAGGCAGTCTCGCTCTGTATGGACCACTGTGATGCAGCGGGACTTACAGGTGACGATAGTTGGTTCAAGACTGTAGTACTAACTGGGGGAAGCGCGTGTTTGCCTGGACTCTCAGGTTCTATTACTACTAGCTCTTTCTTTTGTTTCAATTTTATTTTGCAGATGCCATCAATTGTTCGGAACTAATCAATACTTCTTGCATACCACTTGAATTTTGACACTTGATCTAAAAGATACACGAATGACGTGCTTTTGGGTTCTTTTTTGTGAGCTGTATCCAGAGAGGCTAGATAGAGAACTGCATGAACACCTTCCTTCATCTATAAGCAATGGAGTCAGAGTAATCCCTCCTCCTTGCGGCGTGGACACATCATGGCATGGGGCAAAGCTTATCAGTAACGTAAGTGATATTATTTTTCATTCATATTCATGAACCTATTAGTAAATGAGACAACAGATTATTTCTGGAGTGCTACTATCTGAAACCTACCTTTGAAATTATATACACATTGTACACATTTGGTGAAATAAACAGTTTGTGAGAATGAAGATGCATAAACTCACCTTTACGTACTTAAATTCTATACCGGACATTTGTTCGAAGCTTGTTTTCTAGATTAATTTAACATAGTGCAGTATCGTGGACTTCGCCTCACACAATTGCGGTTGTACTGATTATTATGAGCAGTTGAGCACCTTTCCTGGTCCTTGGTGTATCACAAGGAAGCAGTTCCGTCGCAAGTCAAGACTCATGTGGTGAATCTCTCAGCCTTTCTTTTCTTTTTCCTACCATCGCGAAGACAGAGTGAGTGGCAGGTTGTCAGCTGTTCTAAGGTACTTTGCAAGTCTTTAGATAAGTACGTATATGTATAGTGTCATACTTGATTATACTCAAAAGCCATAAACAGCAAACAATTGGTGAAAACCTTTTTATATACTACATACAGTATTTAAGAGAGATTGTTGAAGCTCTTGGTGATTTTGATATACTAATCATTTTACTATCTTCTAGTTAGTATTTACTATTTACTATGTACTTCATTGGTCGATTAATGTAAGAAGAGACAATAATACGCACAAAAGCCATTACAAATTATCATTTAGAATTTTTTTGAACTCCCTGATAACAAAAGAATGAGATAGTTCAAACAGTAAAACAAATCGTGGATATACATAAATTCTCTTCCTCAGGTTGTTACAGGTTCATTGCAGAAATCCGGCTTTCTCAGCCTCAGAACAACTTAACAAAAACAAATAGAGCCGCGGCAATTGTCAGCCAAAGACGGGACGAAGAGGTAGTTGCTGCGTTTACGTCTGATGTTGATTGTGCAGGCAACTGGGATCCGGCAGGGCATGCGAGACCTTCTTTACCTTCTTTGCACTCGTTAGCGAAAAGTCCAGGCGGGTATTTTCCATAGAGATTGATGTAACTGAACATAGTGGTTGCACAATCTGAGCTAAGGTCGTTGAGCTGGTCAGTGTAAGGACATGCAAAGTCCTTGAAGGCGCCGCAGCATTCCTTTGGTGGGTATTTGGGACCTTTGCATTTACTGGTTATGACCGTGTAGTTCATAAACTCAAAGTTCACAGGACATGCTGTTTCATAGAAAAGAGAATCCATATCACTTTAGAAGAAAACCAAACAATTCTTATCTGAAAAAATCGATTGAATCCACATGAAGCAAAACGCTCAAATAACTGCTACAAAATGTGAATCCACACGAAAAGAGTTATGGAGATCAATAGCAACATTTGTAGAGGTCAGAGGATCATCATTAGGCCACATGACCAAAAGTAAACAAGTAGAGAATGCCGGAGAACTCACATTTTCCTCCCACAATTCATCATAACTAAGGATCAAGAATCAAGATTGTAGTCAAATATATCGTAACTAAGGATCAAGAATCAAGATTGTAGTCAAATATACCTCCTCCTTATATATATATATATGGATCCGTCTATAATTAGAAGCTGTTACTAAGATCTTCATACTAAATGAGAATAATCAATTACTGGGAATCATTTAAAAGTATGAAAAAGAGTAAAGTTGAGGGAAGGGAGAGAGGGATTTAAAAGAACTTGCTTTTCTTGGTCTGAAGCAGGTTTCTTCCAAGGACCAAAGTCTGAGATTCGAACACACCATCTGCAATAAGAAAACGATAAATAATCAAATGATTACACATCTAACCAAACCAAACAATTTGTTCGAGAACAAGAAGAAAGTGTGTTTGTGTACCTGAAATGAAACTTGAAGATGAGAAAGAAGAAAGTGTAGTTGAGAGTAGAAGAAAGAAGAAAAGAGCTCTAGAGAGGAGCTCCATGGTTCTTTGTTGGTTACAGGAGAAGTCACGAAGAGATCTGATTTCAAGAAGACGACTTTGATTCAAGAAGAGCTATGGCAAACCACGAAGATGAAAGAGAAACAAAAAAAAGAGAGATAATAATAATTATAAATAAAATAAAGTAGTATAAAAGAAGGTCCATCGATGACATTTACATACTTAACATTTTGGATTACAGCTTAGATAGAATAACGCGGAAACATGCGAGCCTGTCTTGTCTCATCAACGCAAATTTCTAAAACGGTGGCGTTTTTGAAGTCTTCACTGCCGTGATCCCTTATTTTTGAGAAAATGGATTAATTTCGTGCTTCTATTTTTTTTTCTTGATAATATTTAGTTCATAAATTAAGATGGTTAGTAGAATCCCCTTGGCCCATTGGTTGATCAAAAGTTAATTAATGCTTTTACACCTAGAGGTCTGGGGTTCGAGTCCCAGATACTGCGATTTATTAATATATTTACAGATTATTGGAGGCAAGTGTGCATGAGATCTCCAGCGATGTACAATTATAGCCGTTCGCCAGGATTCAGTGTTCATCAAGAGCATGAAGAAGGAGGTGAAGGAAGTGAGCATGAAGAAGGAGGTGAAAGAGGTGACGTCTGTCGTGGATCTAATAAGAGTCAGAAGGAATTGTCAGTTGTAGAATCGTCTATGTAACAGTTCTCATAATTTACAATAAATAATAAATCTAGAAGGAAAAAAAAAATTAAGATGGTTAAAAAAAAAAAATTAATAGACTAACATTGTTAATTTTTAAACGTAATTCTGTAATTATTTTACTATTTAAAATATCATCAAATTTTCATATTTTTTATAATAGTTTCGTTATATACTATGGATGTGTTAAAATTATAACAAGAAAATAAATTTGCTATTTGTTCATTGGGAATTTGACTAAATCTACCACATTTTGTTGCCACATGCCTAAAGCTGGACGAAATTGCCCTTAATGGAGAGAGAAGTGTGTGTCAGAAAAAGGGACAACTTGGGACAAGAGAGAGCAGTCTGCATTTAATGTTACACGTTTACAATTGCTCTCTTAATATATTAGACAATATTAAATTAAAATCGGGGACAAGTTCATATAGAATGAGTAACATAATTAGACCGGAGACAAGTTCAGATCGAATGAGTAGTATAATTATATCGGGGACAAGTTCATAGGAATGAGTAATATAATTAGATCGGGACAAGTTCAGATCGAATGAGTAATAGAATTAGATCGGGGATAAGTTCATATCGAATAAGTAATAGAATTAAATCAAGGACAAGTTCATATCGAATGAGTAATAAAAGTAGATCATGGACAAGTTCAGATCGAATGAGTAATATAGTTATATCGAGAACAAGTTCATATGGAATGAGTAATATAATTAGATTGAGGACAAGTTCATATCGAATTAGTACCAGAATTAGATCGAGGACAAGTTCAGATCAAATGAGTAAGAGAATTAGATCGAGGACAAGTTCATATGAGAAGAAACTCAGATCTAGATGTGTAGCCGATTTAACGTCGTGGACCAAAACTATATAATTGATAAACTATTTTCAAACCCAAATTTAGATTTTGAATGAGTAATATCGAATGAGTACCAGAATTAGATCGAGGATAAGTTCATATCAAATGAGTAATATAATTAGATCGGGGACAAGTTCATATGAGAAGAAACTCAGATCTAAATGTGTAGCCGATTTAATGTCGTGGACCAAAACAATATAACTAATAAACTATTTTCAAACCCAGATTTATATTTTGTAGGAGAGAAAAAATCATGTGAAAAGAAAAAGAAGAATAAAACTTCATAGATATATATACATATATATGTATATATATCTATAAGTGAGAGAAATAAAAAATAATGTGAGAGATAGAAAGAGTGAGAGAAAGAAAAGAACATAAAAAAATTTAAAAAATAAACACAAAGAGAAAGAGAGGGCAAAATAGTAACTTCCCATATCAAATGTGGTAGGATTGGAAAGGAAGTTGAAAATGTGGTAGATTTGGAAAGAATTAGGGAAAATATGGTAGATTTCTTAGTTTTTCCTTGTTCATTCAACTATTTTAATAGTTCAGTGATTAAAAATGATTAATAAACCAATTTCTTATGCAAATAATTTGGTGAGGAGTGGTACAATAAATGAATTGTGAGAATGTGAGTTGTGACTTTCTTTTTTTGGCTGCACATAAAATGAATCAAGTAATCACCGGGTAAGAAAAAAAAAAGAAACCAAAAAAAGTTTCTGATAGAGTTTCTACATCTTTGCAAGGTTTACGAGTTTTGCCATAATTATAAATAGATAAGATACATTGTTTTTAAGCGATTATTAACGTAATCGCCTAATTAGACCGATGGCGAAGTATGAACAATTTGAAGCCGTGTGTTTTTCAATATTATGATTGTTTCCATCGATCATTTCAGGCATACATATATACATTGTTAACAAATTGTATGTAAACAAGTAGCTAACCATAAATGTATGTTATTCCAACTTTATTTCATGATTTATGTAAACTTTTCGTACTAGCGAATTAAAGAGTTTCAACTTTCAAACATAATCGAGATTTGTTCCTCACTCGGAAATATTATATAATTTTTACAAGGCATAGACCAAAATAAAACCAAAGGTCTGCGTATATAATTTCTTTTTCTCTCCGTTAACTTTAATGACCAAAAGCTTCAGATACAGCATCGTTTTCTTCGCTGCCAATATAGAAAGAATAATAGAGCTGTCTCAATTTAAAGTTAAGTATACATAATACAAATATAACCAACGAATAATCCAAATTTAATCATAGTGTATATATATTTATAGAGTGAGTGGGCTTACTTCTTGGTAATGAGATTCAAGCTGTTCTGTGATCTGAAGTTGTTTTGTTAATGTTATATGTAATACCTAAAAGACACACACAAAAAGGAGATACATTATATGATAAAGCATTTAACAAGCTTAATAATGATATAAGCTCAAGATCGAGAGAGTTACGTACTGATTTGGTTTTGTCGAGATCGAGTTCTAGAGACTTGATCCTCTCGAGAGATTCCGTTAAGAGCTTCTCATTTGCTTCTGGGATTTTTACTGGTTTTCTACTAATCTCTGTGAATTCTTCCTCCATCTTCTTAAGACGATCTAAACACTCGAGAACCTGGTTGTTTATTGATGATTCTGGGACGACGACATTGTTCTGTCTTTGCCAGTATCCAGGCAATAGGAAACCAACGAAGACAAATAGCTTCAGTGGAAAGGCTAGTAGTGTTTTCACCAAGTGAAAGATGTTCTCGCCGTTGATTTTCTCTCTAAGAGCACCAAACCGTAACATCTGACCACCTGAAATGTTGAATATACAGTAGCAATTAGAATCCATGTGGAACAGAACATTAACAAAACTATGTAACAAGGCATGAAGAAAAGAAACACCTTCTCTTATGGTTGTATTTGCAAAAGAGTTTTCGGTGTCCGCGTTAAGTAAATGGGATTGAGCCGGTTCTATAGATTCCACGGTAGTAATGATTTTATCACCGTCTGATGTACTAGCCTGCGCAAAGAGGCTTAGTCAAAAACCAATCTAAATAAAATGTTTTGAGAAACATACAGGGTCGAAAAGCACCTTATCGGAGAGTGGAGGAACTAAACAAGTGTACATTGAAGATCTTGACCCACTGGAAGAGTAATATTCTTCAGATTCTGGCTCTTCTTTAAAAGTTTTGTTATACCTTTCCTGACAAGAAATAAAGTTACAACATTGTACGGTACATAAAAGTAAGACCTCTTAAATCAATGGAGCATTGAGCTCACTTTAGGCGGGATCGTGCAAGTGGTAGAATCAGAATCTCTTATATGAAGAGGAGCTGTTGTGATTTGCGGTACAGGATTAACTTCCATGTGATGAATGAGCTGCAAAACAAGACACCGATAATATTAACTCAACTAACCATGACAGCTCATATGTAATTAAATCTTATAAAGCAAAAACAAAAAGGGACATGCCTCAACTATTTCAGGATCATTCCAGGGTCCTTTGTTAGACCTCAAGCACCCTCCCTCGTTAGGACATTTGCATAAGCCTCCCAAGAACTCTGGAAGTTGACTGTACAGAGAGAAAAAGAAAAGCAGTAAACAGTTATGTTCTAATGTCGTAACCAAAACTTGAATGAGGTTATTAATAAAAACAAAAACTTATGAGGTGACCTATAACACAATAACCTGGAATCAATTGCTTCAAGTAACTTTGACAAGGACCTTGGCTCCAAAACCTGAGTAATACAAGTACATAAGCGGCGGCTGACAGCAAATAGGAGAATATATACTTAAAAACCAGAGCGATAATCATTACTTGTATCTTTGCAATAGTCATCGGATCAACAAGCTTCTGTGCGGCAGGCCAAAGAAAATTCCTGAATCCAATCCCTGCATTGACAATGAACATTCGGTGCAAAGTCTGCAAGAGTCAGAGACCATGATTACAAACTTTTAGAGCAACCGAAATATCCATGTCCACTCGGCTTATTGGATTCATGACAAAATATTCTCCCCTTTTATACTTGGAGTAGAGCTTCTAGTACATAAAAGTGTATTCTTGAAAGAGTAAAGTACCTCAGGGTAATAATTGCAATCTACTTTAGCAATGGTGGCCAGGAGATTAGCAGCTGTAGGAGTAAAGTTCTTCATACCCTAAACAACCACAATAGCGACGTTATCATTCAAGAAAAAACAAGTGGTTCCTTTAAGGCATTTACATGAGTTTACCATACCAGGCCTTCAACATCTAGAATCGTAGTTGTTGTAGTAACTCGTCGCTTAGCTGCAACTGAACACGCAGGGAGCTTCTCTTGAAGTGTCCTCTCAAATTCTTGTACATGGTACTTCAAATATCGCTCTATGGTAGTTACCTCCATAAGCTTACCAGGATGAGCTTTTCCAAGTCTTTCGATATAAATAGGTCTCCCATCTTTATCAACTCCATGATACCCTTGAGGATAGTGCCGTGTCACTTGGTCCAACTCTTTGAAATTAAAATCCTATTTCATCGATTTGTAAAACATTGTTATGCTACTACTCCTTTTTCGGGTAAACTGAAACCATATCTCGTACCTGTATAATGCGGTCAGTTGCAAATTCTTTCCTCCATTTGAGCATATCTTCCCATGCAGTGACAGTTTTCTCGATTTTAAATTCCATTGTTTTCAGAAACCTACATAGATAGAGACACAAATAAAAAAGTGCTCATTTTGATACCAATTCCGAATCAAAATTTCGGAACTTTTACCTCAACAACATATGATAATCATCATGCATTGGAGGCAACAAATCTTTCTTGAGAAGTTGTTGACGCAATTTAGAAACAATCTTCTCATCTTTCTCATCCCTAACATCTTCAATAAAAGGAAGCTCGATTTTACGTTTGCCTTTTCTCTTCAAAGGATGAGTAAGTTTACTTGAACAAGTAATAGCCTTCTTCTTCAAATTCCCAATTCTAGAACGCCGTGGCTCTTCTTCTATGCACTCAGAATCTGATAGTTTCTCTCCTGTTTGTTCACGACCTGCAATATTCATCAAAAATAAAACTAAGTTCAACCATTTCACTCTGGTGGATTTTATTTCTTTGAAAGTATTCAAAATTACCTGACATCTTTAGAATCGGTTACAACGGAACAACACTCTTCCTGAATTTGCACAACTTAAAACGCAAAATTAACGAACTAGATGGATAAATTATCCTCTGACGCAAAAATCAAAAATCTTAAGTCGAAATGACCTAAGATTCCTCTGGAAAGAGCAAAAGCAATGCAGACGAAAATCGACAAAAACCCTAACGAATCATTCAAGTGTTTTAATTCCAAAGCGAGAACATCTAAAAATAGTAACAAAAGTTGTAACAGATAGAGAGATAAAGATGGCGACAGTTATACCTCTTTCTATATACAGAGATCTGTAGATAGAGATATTACAGAATCTAAAAATTCTCTAATCTCAAGAGATTTGAATTTTGAGAAAATCAGAGGATTTTGGTGCACTTTGTTCTTCTCTGTGTTTTCTTTTTTTAAAAGTATTTGGGGACTCTGTTTTTCTCTTAACACCATGAAATGGCCGGCATGTCTCATTCGCAGTCCTTCCACACCTTGTTTTTTTATATGATTAAATCAATCCGACGCCGTTTTAGAATCAGATGAATCTGTTCGACGTCGTTTTGGGGTCAATTTGGTAGTAATTGCTGCTAGCACACGCTTTCTTCTGCGGGTTTTGGCATCGCGTGTATTCGTGTATTTTTGCATTAACTCGTGTTACCACCTCATGCGTTTCTTAAATTGTCATTGTATTGATCTACCAAACTTAAAACCGAATTCAACATTTTTTTATTCAATTTTAAAACTTACAATTCCTTGAAAAAATAGGCTCGAATTAGCTATGAATAAGACCTACTTCAACAGTTTTATTTCATATATAAAGATCATTGTTTCTGATGCACAGCAGACCTCACCGAACCCAAACGCGTTTTAATGGTGAAGTCATACCGAATTCATTTTACGATTGAATACATTATGTATCTTTGTCAGATACACATATGAGAAAGACTAAATAAACTAGCTAAATTTGTAAATATATACTTTAATAAACCAATCACATCACTTGTTCCTAAATCATTTTGAATTTTTCAAGTATAAAAGAAAGAGAAAACCGTACAAATGGAACAAGTCATATTCATGTTTATTATTCTACTCTTCAAGACTTTTCTTTATAGTTACCAATAGGAATCTAACACAGTATAAACCTGTCAAGATCATCAAAATGTGTTGGTCCAACTCCAATCTAATTTCACAATCACTATGATGCGCACATGTTTTATTTATTATCTGCAAACTGATCTGTATTCTTCAACACTACTTGCAAGGGACTTATCATGACAGCAGATTATTGGCTTAAAGCATTGCAAGATCTCAATGTTTCAAATAAGGCATAATAAAGCTCATGTACACACACACCCAACACACGGCTTCAAGATATAAAAAAAAAAAACTAATAGGCAAAAGTAGCCAAAAGAAAAATCCAAATTCAGTTTTTTCTTTTCTTATTTCTCATGTTTAATGCGCAATGTACTGGTGTGGGTATTATTGCTAGTTATCATCCCATTGCATACTTCTGGGTCCAGGATTGAGCCATAGACTCGTACTTGACTCGGTCTGTCTTGTAGATATGAGCTATTTCAGGAACCAAAGGATCATCAGGGTTTGGATCCGTCAGCAATGAGCATATCGACAGAAGAACCTGTGGAAATTGCACACCAACTTTACTTCTTTAGCATATATGCAAATAAAAGAAAGTACCTTCAACCAACTCGCAAATGGAAATCCAGATATCATGTCATCAATATTGATAATGATGACATGATAACATAACATAAGACAACACTCCCATTAAAACATTATAACATTAGCCATAATAAATGATGACCCTATGTTTTTGTATGTCTTGATGACCTTAACCATTATAACATAAGACAACACTCCCATTAAAAGAGATCATCCTTCTAGGATTTACTTGACTAATACCATATCACAGCATTTAAATAAGGACCCACAAAACAGAACTCAATCTTTATGATAATGGCCTTGACTATACTTTTTTATTTAACATTGGTATTCATTTTCTAATCATAATTCTATAACAAATCGATATATTGTTTGTTCATAAAACCAATGGAAAGAGAGCTAGGTCAAAGCAGATAATCACATCAGAGAGAACGAACTAAGACATGACCATAACTTAGACATGAGCACAAGAAGGTGTGGTGGAAAAACAGACTAATGCTATGCCAAAAAGTATGGAAGTGAAACAATTTGATCACCTTGGATACGGTAAGTGCAGGGCTCCACTGCTCTTTGAGAATGTCAAGACAGATACTTCCATTACTGTTGATATTTGGGTGATAAACCTTGGTGCGGAAGGAAACCTGCATCATAAACAATTAAGGTCGATTGTCACAAAAAGCCTCTACTTGATTGAACACTCTCTCTAAATCATAATGGTGGAAGATAAACCAATTCAGTAAGCTCCAGAAATAAACATAACAAGCAACACAAAACTTTTATTTTGTTACCTTTGGTGGCTTGAAGGGGTAATCTGGAGGGAAGTGAATGGTAACAAGAAACACACCTCCGGCAAACGGGCTATCTGTTGGACCCATGATAGTTGCTTGCCAATGGAACATATCATCTCCCATAGGACCTAATAAACATCACCAGTTCATTAAAATCTAAACAGTAACTTAAGAAGGAAAAAAAAACATTCTCCTAAAACTGATTCCGAGGTTACTGAATCTATCAAAGTGGTGCTTTAAAGTTCACAGAAGATAGATCATAGATAAAAACACTCACCGGCACTGCATGACACAGGAGGATCTCTTTGCAAGTCCCTAAGCTCCTTGTTAATTCTTTTCGACGCCATTGAATAGTCCTCGCTGCTGCTAGCTATAAACAAAGTCAAATCAAAGAAATTACCATACTGCTACAAGTAGAGATGCACAGAACAAGCAGTACACAGCAAAAATCAGTTAACATATGGAGCAAGAACATAGCAATCCTAAAAGAAGAGACTTTGTGCAAATCAGCTTTTGATATTAAAAGGATTATAACAAATAAAAATACTCGTTCCAAGTTTGATAATTATGCGATCGTACACTTCCTAAAGAAATCAACATGAAAAATCTGGAAATCAATCCAAGAGACAAGCCGATCAGAATTCAGAATTCGATCAAACAGAGACAAATCAACGAACAATTCAGAGACAGACGCATCAGTTAAAGGTAAATCATCACAAGATGATGGTACGAGAATATTCTAGAATCACGAGATAGAACAAACACATGGATCGACGCAAGGAAACAAAACCGCGAGAGAATCGAAGGGAAAGAAAACGACGGAGATCAAGAACTGGGAAACGAATAAACCCTAAGAGAAGCGATGATCCAAATCGAATTTGAGATTTTGCGGAGCTAATTTTTGACCTACCTTTTGTGGTTCTAGGGTTTTGGATTTGATCTTCGGAAATCTCAAGGTGTTGTTTTGAAGATGAAACTTTTAGCATCTATACGCTTTATATAGATTCCTCTCTTTCGAGCGGTGAAGCTTTGCCACGTAGCGAGCTAGATTCTGTACTTATGGGCCTTACTATAAGGCCCAATGTTTTATGCCGGAGCCCATTGATTCTTTTACACCGATTGGGAAGGTTCTTTGGTCCTTATTAAGAACAAACATACGCAAAATTGGAAAAATGATTAAACAAGAAATTTCAAAAAAGAAACAGGAAATTAAAGTAGAAAATGATATTTATTTGATTATTTCATATTGCAAAGATTTGGTACCTTAACGGGGAAAACTATCACGAAGAATTCAATATATTCTTCCTTTTGTTCTAAATAAACTTTCTTATATGCAAATAAATACTATATACATTACATATTAGATGAATGTGCGTTTGCATGTGAATATAGTCGTGTTTTTTGAATAGTAGATTATGTAAGATGTTACTGATTACCAAATTGGATAGAATTTTAAAATTATCTTTTATATAAAGTACATAGCCATTTTTGAATAGTTTTTTTTTTTTCTGGTAAACAGTGAAGGAAGCTACCTTGCATCACAAGAAACTAGGTTATGAGGGTTCATAAGCTCCCAGTATTTTTGCAGTCACAGGCCGTTAAACCAAACGACTAAACCAAATGACATATTGGTATAATAACCGATCTGTTTAAACCCTTTGCCGACGAATTAACCGACTAATCGAGTAATCTGTCAATGTTGGAAAACAGAGTTGACATGTAACAGAAAATGTCGATTTTCAGTCATAAACATGTGAAAAGTACTCGAGAACATAACATTTGCTTTACATAATTCCACACATTATATTGAAACAAGCTTTACTTTGACGTTTATGTATCCAAAAACATATTATGATTATTATCATTACCAATACCAGACACAAACCATCGTCATGATTTAATGTTTTCTTTTTGCTAAAATAATAAACAAAAAAAGAGCTTATAAAAGAAAACTGTTGGAACCCAACTTTCCAGACAGAGAAACATAAAACAAACCCAAAGTCTCGGAGAGAGACAGAGACTCATCAGCTCTTGTATTTCCTTGAAATTTTTGTCATCTGATCTCTCTCCGGGGCAATGATAAATAGACAGACAAACACATTTCAAATCATATATACAACAATTCTATCCCAGGGACAAGAGACAGTACCGTGTCGTCAAGAGTGGTATGGCCTTTCTGTGTCGAATTTTGGATCGGTTTCATATTGCTTTATGATCACAACCAAAATGTTCGATGATTTTTACCCTTCTCTTGTTTTGGCTCTCTTCATACCAAGGCTATTGTAAGGAGAAACAGAGCCGGACATTGGAGATCCTTCTTCGCGAAGAGTTCCATTGAGTAATGCTAGCTCGCGCAGCTGTTGTTTCTTGTACAAATCATGGGTTTCCTCCTATAAAACAGAAACCGAGTGTGAAAACTTTATAACAATCCTATTAGTAACTGGTTTAAAATCAAAGGGGGAAAGAGCTAAAAACAAACCATAGGAGTAAGAAGATCGTCAAGTATTTCACGAGCTTGCATGAGACGTGCATCGACTATTTCAATCGGTAATTCTGCTTCAACTAAGATATGAAGTGGTTCATTTAGGTGCTCGTATCCTGGTTTTCCTCTCATCATTTCCTCCTACAAGAAGAAATATGTTAAGACGTTGAACAAACATTGGAATGTAGAGATACAAATGAAGTTGTGAAGTTAAATAATAAATACCTTAATTGGATCTTTTATACTGCCTCTTCCCCTTATAAGAACACGGCAATCAGTACTTGCTTCAACTCGCTTCAGGGAGTTTCCTCTAGGACCCAGGAGGCGACCAACAAAATTGAACTGCCATATAGAAAATTAAGAGTTATATTCCGACCAGAAAGTAGTATATATATACACATACATATATATATCTAGAGTAGAAATGAAAGGTCATACATTCGGATAATTGTCGACTGGAATATCAACCCTGATTGTACGCTTGGCGATGAGACCGGATGAACTACCAGGTGAGTTAAGCCAATTTGGTCCCGGAGATGATGGAACAGATCTCTGCAAATGATCGACCAACAAAATTAGAAGCAATATCAACCTTGAAGCATAAGCACATGAATATTGAAACTTCTTTCCCTGGAACTTCATTCTATGGAAGTGGGCACTGTATCAAGGCATTTCAACCTGTAGCTGCTATATCCTAATAATATGCATACAGTGACCACATATATATGAGAAAATTATAGCATTATTTCAATCCTACTCGTGAGGCTAGTGGAGTATCTAATTAGTGTTGATCTAAGGTAAGACAATACAAACATTAGGGATATTAAGTGTTAGCCCAGGCTACCTGTCATGATAAACTACAACTAAAAGCAGTCAAGTATGTTATGTCAGCATAACTTAAGTCAATAAAACTTCTATTGCAGTAGTATGAATTAGAGAGTTATGTTAATGGTTAGTAGTCATACTTCTGATGGAAACTGTGAGGCCCATCCGTTCAGGTCAGCTCTTGCATTCTGAAATATCCCTCCTGAAGCCAGAGGGCTAGGGTGGTCAAGCCCACTCTGACTTAAAAACTGTAGCATTCTCCAACAGTGTGGTTACACGCAAAATTTCTGCTCCAAAAATGTCAATTTCCAAGAGTAAGACGCACCAGTTAGAATCAGTCAACAAATCAGTCACTAGGCCACCAATGAATGGAGAGACAGCATAGTTAATTGAGTTAGTAAAGAATAGTTATATTGCTCTCACTCTAGTTATACAGAATGACAGAAGTCAGTATAAGAATATCGAATTAGTCATTTCGTGTTCTAGTTCTAAGTTGTATAATTTTTAAGAGGGAAGGAAGATAATAAGATTAGACCTACTTGGGGATTAATCAATCACTTTGTTAAATTAATCCTAATAGCTAACAATTAGGTCTCTCTTAGCAGTAGTGTGTTTATCAACTGTATGAGAGCTTCATGAATCTGAAGCAAGCAAATGAAGTATTCTGTGAGATGAAAATACAAATAATAAACAGGAATGCTCACCTTGGTTTAGTAGCCGATATGCGTGTGGAAGCACAGGCAGGAATGGAGTAAGCTTATGACGCTCTGCAAGTAACTCTGAAAGATACCTGCCAAACAGAAATTGTGCAGCAAATCCAAATTAGTAACATCAAACTTAACAAGCAGATTCACTCATCATGGTTAAGAGACTCAAAATCCATAAAAACAGATTCAAATTTCCATTCTTTTAGTGAAGTGGATCTAGTCAATCTTCCAAAAATTGTAACTTGAACAGTTTCATCAGTCAAGAACACAAATCAATAATAACAGAAACGAACATAACCAATGAAATGATCCTCAAAACACTAAAAACTGATGCTTTGCAAGAAGTGAACTGGATTGAGATTCAATCAAATGCATCGGAATCGAAACATAGATCCTAATATATAAACAGAAGAAAACAAAACACAGAAAATCCAGATTTGCGATAAACTATTAAGATCTAAAAATCAAAATCGTCAAAACAAAGATCAACATACTTCATCAGAAACATCAGCTAAAGATCACCAAACAATAAAGAAACAAAAATTTAAGAAACTGAGATTCAATTACTTCTCTTGCTCAACAAAGACAGACGACTGTGATCGGAGACCACCGGAGTAATTAGGAGACTGAGGAGCAGAAGGAGGCACCGAAAGAGACGACGAATACGTCATAAACCTCCCTCCGCCGCCACCACCAACTCCACTTCCTCCTCCTCCACCACCACCACCAAGAGACGACATCATCATCATCTCGAAGAAAATATTCACAAGGAATCAGAGCAAATCTGTCGGAGATTAGAAGAAGAAGCAGCGGCGGAGTCAGAACCAAAGCTCTATAACGTCGGTGGATTTAAGAGGTCGTTTTTATAGAGACTGTGGAAATGATTACTTGTTTGTTTGCTTAGCTGTTTTTTTTTCACCTTTTTTCTTTTTTTTTTTTTTCATATTTTACGCACTTACCCAATTTTACCGCTCTTCTTGTTAGTTTCTTTCAGAAGACTCTCAATCATCTAGAAGGTTTTTTACCGGGTCGGTTTACTAAAATTCGATTCGGTTTATCTATACCGGACTAATTAAACGCTGCGTTTTCGAAAGCGAAGCTCTGATATTCAGTGAGACGAGGAAGGTTGAGAAGAAAAATGGAGGAGACGACGATTCCTTTCAAGAGCTTACATAGCAGAGAGTATCAAGGTCACAAGAAGAAGGTTTTTTTCGATCTTTTTCTAAGTTTCATCTAATTTCTGTTGTCAATAAAGAATACGAAACCCTAGCTTTTTTGCTGAATTTGGGGGAATTTTTTGGATTGAAGGTACATTCTGTGGCTTGGAATTCTAATGGAACAAAGCTTGCTTCGGGTTCTGTTGATCAAACGGCTCGTATTTGGAACATTGAACCTCACGGTCATGTAATTTCTTTACCTTTGAGCTATGGGAACTTATGTGTGTTTTTTGATGATGATACATATGGAGAAGTATTGCAGTTTTCGAATTTTTGGTAGTTTTAATTCAGATGAGACTTTGGTAATTCTTATTAGTATAGTTTTCATGGAGTTTTTGATGCAGATTGAGTTTTAATTCGATTATTATCTTTATCATTGTTATTCGGGCTATGTAGTCTTTGTAATTTGATTGTATGTGTGGTGTGTGGATACAGAGTAAGGCTAAGGACCTTGAACTAAAGGGCCATACTGATAGTGTGGATCAGCTATGTTGGGACCCCAAACATTCAGATCTTGTTGCTACTGCCTCTGGTGATAAAAGCGTTCGTCTCTGGGATGCTCGCAGTAAGTTATATTCTCTTAATAGGATTAGGTTTTTCCCTGAAAAATGTAACACGCTGGAGCTGGGTTTAGAAATCTGATGGATTAGCTATGTGTCATTCACATATTATTTCTTGCAATCTTGCCTTTTTCTTTTGAGCCATATCGCGGAAACTATTGATTGATGAGAATATGATTAGATATACGTTTCTAAGAAATATGAACTAGTTTTTTAGCCAGATTCCATAACAGAAAATTTAAATAGGTTCTTGATGTGGCTACAATTTTGTGTTTTACTGTAAGTGGAAAATTGCTGATATATCTGTTCTTCGAGTTACAGGTGGAAAATGCACACAGCAGGCAGAACTTAGTGGAGAGAATATAAACATCACCTACAAACCTGATGGGACTCATGTAGCTGTTGGTAATAGGGTATTGTCTCGATCCTCATGTCTTTGCACTTGCATTGTTCCTACCTGGACTCAGTGCCGGCTCTACTCATGTGCGGAGAGTGCTTATGCACAGGGTCTATTTAATTTTGTTTTTTTTTTATAACTAAATTTATTAAAATTAGGGTCCAAATTTTTTTTTACAAAAATACATAGGAAATTAGGTCCGATTATTTTTTCCAGCTCATGGTCCTTAATTTTTTTGGGCCGGCCCTGCCTGGACTGTTTATGCATTACTTGATAGATCCCTTTATCAGTGGTTGTTCTTCTTTTACTGGCCAATGTAGGATGATGAGCTTACCATTCTGGATGTCCGTAAGTTTAAACCTCTACACAGACGCAAATTCAATTATGAGGTAACGTAAGCTCAGACTCATGTTAATATTCATTAATGGCTTTCTTGTGAGAATGTTCTTCCCTGTCTCCTATTTGAAGCTCATGCGGTTATATTTCACTTAAGTTCCTTGTTCATGTAATAATCGCCTTGGTTGTTAAAGTTAGTAATTTTCTGGTGCCGTATGGAATGTTCTCTTATCTTTCGCCTCCTTGTAACAGGTTAATGAGATTGCTTGGAACATGGCAGGAGATTTTTTCTTCTTGACTACAGGACTTGGTGAGGAATTTAAATTCTGTACTTTCCTGCACACGATTCCCTAGCTCAGATTTCTTGGTTTTTGAACTTGAGAAAATGATCTTATTGGAGAGTTACTTTTGTACGTTCTTCTGCTCAGGCACTGTTGAAGTTCTTTCGTATCCATCTCTTAAACCACTTGACACTCTCACAGCCCACACAGCCGGGTGTTATTGTATTGCAATTGATCCTAAAGGGAGGTAATCAATGTTTACATGCATTTTCTTTGCCATCTGAGACACAAATGAATATAATTTTTCCGGTTGCATCCAATCCCTTCCTCGTCTTTACATTAACAGATATTTTGCTGTCGGGAGTGCGGATTCCTTAGTCAGCCTTTGGGATATCTCAGACATGCTTTGTTTGAGAACATTTACCAAACTTGAGTGAGTCCCAACCTGGAACTTATTTATAGCAGAAAAAAGGTTTAATATCTGTTGCATGTTAGTAAATTAACAACTATTTCTCACAGGTGGCCCGTCAGAACAATAAGCTTCAACTATTCGGGAGAGTATATTGCTTCAGCCAGTGAGGATTTATTTATAGATATTGTAAGTAACTGCCCAGGCTTAAACACTGCTAATTACTATGTAGTTTCCTCAATGTGGGATTAGTTGCCTCGTATCTGACCACTAACTACCAAACAGGCTAATGTCCAAACCGGGCGGACGGTGCATCAGATTCCATGTCGGGCTGCCATGAACAGCGTCGAGTGGAATCCCAAATACAATTTACTTGCATATGCAGGCGATGACAAGAATCCCAAGTATAATACTGATGAAGGTACTGCTGCATATTAATAATACTTCATTGTTAGCAACAAGACTTAAAATTCATAGCAGAAAATGAACAATGACAACAACTTGGATCTCTTTGCAGGTGTTTTTCGGATATTTGGTTTTGAGAGCTCGTAGAAACAGAACACTGCATCAGGAAACATGATACACAACTCCGCTTGATCCGTGTTGAGTTAGAAAAAATTTATGTGCCATGTGTGCTACTAAATTTGTATTGTCAGTATCAAGTTGGAATCTTACAGATCACTAAATACATTGAAAGTTTGCAGTTCTGATTTTATATGAATCTGGCATTTTATGATTCACTGCAAAAATGGGTTTACTATACAAGATGTGTTCTTTATTATAAACGAATAATGAAATTAAATAATATCAAGATCAGAATTCTGATTCTGAGTTACATCAATTCTCTACTATGTGTGAGCGTTACAGCGTTACTGCTAAAAGTTACAGGTTGTTATTAGGCCCTCCGGGGATTCTTCAGTCTGGGAGATTTGACAGCTATTCTCTCAAAGCTAGAACAGAGACCAATGATCGGACCAAAAGCTTCATCCCCACAATGGAGGCTGAAGAAAGGATGCAGAGTCCTGACAAATAAAACACATTTATCACTGAGAGTCCAGATTTGGATATAAAGAACAAGAGCACACAATTTGCTTACCGAACAAACAAACAATGAATAGCAAGAGTTTGTCAAAATCCGCAGAGGATGAACTTTGAGATCGGGAAGAACAACCCTGCAAAGCAAAGAAGAACAATGGTGATCAAATACTGAGAGAACCAAGTAACAGGTTTCCACTTGATCTCAACGCTTGAGCTCTTCATCCTCTTCCCACTCATCGGCTCTTTCGACAAATCAAAGCTCGATCCTTTCATCCTCAACTCCAAAACACACCGTGTTAGCGTTCTGTTATCATTCCTCTCCCTATGAACTCCTCTGTAAACTTTCCAGAACACAAACAGCTTAGCCTGAACAAGAAACACCAGAACCAATGAAGTAGCTAGTGACACTGCAGAAGGTATCCACCATTTCTTGCAAACCGCATTGCTTTTCACTACTTCATCGTCGTCAGAACAAGAAGAAGAGTAGACAAGTGTGAAGAAAAACCCGTGGAAGACGAGGAAGAAACAACAAAGCTGAAAGATCTCTCTTTTGATTGACTCTAGCCTCGATTCTTTAAGAAGTACACGACGACAGAACAAATCTTCTTCTCTTTGCCATAGCTTCAAAAGCAATAAATGTCCTGGACTCTCTGAGATTTCAGACAATGGATGCTGCTGAATCACTTTGAGTATCCCCATTCCCGGATTCGAGACCGCAACCAACTGTTGTTGTTGTCTTTCTTTATGCTCTTCATCTACCGGAATCTCCACTACATGCGAATCTTTAGTTCCGGCCATAGAGAAAAAAAGATTGAGACTTTATGAAGAAACAGAGATCAGAAATGGAAAGCAATTAGAGAGTAAGATGAAGATTGAGAAATGACTAAAATTTCAGAGAGAAGACTTGAATTCGTTGTTTTTTTTAGTAAGATTTCCTTTTTCTTCACAAGATTTCAGATATATAAATTGTTGTTCCTTAACGGCTATATGTACAACGGTCGGATTGTTTTCTTTTTACGTTATGTTGTTGTTACTACTGCGATAATATAGTCAGCGACGTTTTCTCACTTTAACGGCTATATTTTCTATTCCAAAACGTTTAAGGCCAATATTTGGGCCTATAATGGGCCGAATGATTTGCAATGTGCTTTATAGTTTTAAGTAGACCCAAAATTGATCATCTAGTTCTACTAGCTTTGCTCGATGATTCCATTGTTTGTTTTTGACTTTTTGTTCCACCGCAATTTATAACGAGTGATACATTTATGAGTTTATAAATTTTTTTTTTTTTTTTATTACTAAAATAACAACATTCTGTTTAAAAAAAAAAAAAAAATTCTTTCACAACACATGCAAGTTATTGGAAATGACATATTTTAAGATGAAACTAATAAAAGCTCTTTATTTACATTTCTTCATTATTAAATGCTTTACAATGCAAAACTTATTAATCTCTGAAAACCGAAAGCACCTAATTAATCATAAGTCATAACAAAATGTTTAACCACCAAATGTGATCCAATATGAAAACCCAAACAATGAAATCTTAAAGAAAAAAAAAAACTTTGAACCAAATAAAATCAAACCATATGATTGATGAGATCATCAGCTTGTAAATCCCACAAGACATTATCCACATTAAACACATGTTGTTGTTGTTGATGATGGTTCCTCATCATCATCATCATTCCATCTCCTCTTCCTCCTTCAGATCCAATCTCCTCTTGATCAACCACTTCTCCCTTCAGCTTCCTCCTCTCCTCTTCCTCGGCCGCCGCGGTTTCAGCCACCGCCGTACGTATCCCTCCGTGACCTCTCCAAGCCGCAACGGCAGGAGACGCCGATCCATCATTCCTTTCTTCATTTCCAAACGACGACGAAGAGGATCCATACGAGAATCCATTACCCATGTCCCATAGTTTCATTATCCCATTCCCATGGTCCAAACCACTCATCTTTATCTTACCAGCTTCATTATCAGCAATCTGGTTAAAGTTGTTTGGGTTAGCGTTAGGGTTATGGTTTGAGAAGTTGATTTGGTTTAGGTCAACACGTTTCTTGGTAAGCAAGTGAAGCATCTCGTCCTTGAAACAGCCGAGAGCAGCTTCGGCGAGGTGAGAAACCTGAGGAGGATTAAGTGTAGTGGTGATCTCTGCCATTAGATGCGAGAAAGGCTTGTGGGTCACTGGATCTATTCCCATTCCCGACAACTTCTTCTTCAGCTTCGTGTTCCAATAGTTTTTCACATCGTTGTCCGTTCGACCAGGAAGTTGCCCCGCAATCAACGACCACCTGAACCATATATGTTAAAAGATTATTAGAAAGGTTTTATGTATTAGACCTTATTCGTTTTATTGTTTCCCAAGAAAGATGTTAGCTGTTGTTTCTCATGAAAAAGTCCCAAACTATTCATCATCAAATTTTCAAATTCTGTTTTGTGAGTCTAATTGGTGATTGTATATAGCAAAACAAATTTATTTTAAGAAAAATTAAACTTGTCAGAAGTTTAAAACCCTATACTTCTTAGATTTGGTACAGAAAACAAAACTTATGTCTTATTCAGTATCTTGCTTCCCAAGAAACTTGTCCACAAACTCAGAAAAGGTATTCATCAGTAAGCCAGCATCAAGATTTCAAAACCTTATGAAACAAACCCGCTATTTACGAGTCCGTATGTAATTATATACACCTAGAATAAATCGATCATTTCAAGAAAACCGTAAAACAGTAGTTAATTAGATCTAGTGATCATGCATACCGGTTACCAAGAACAGAGTGAAACTTGACAATGATATGTTCCTCAGTCTCCGAGAACTGGCCGTGTTTCAAATCCGGACGCAAATAGTTCGTCCATCGCAGCCTACAACTCTTCCCGCATCTTTGCAACCCTATTAGAATGCCGATCCATTATATTAGATTACAATGATCACATACAAGAACATTATTACTTGATAAAAGAAAAATTTAAAAGACACGAAAATTACCAGCGTTCTTAGGGATGAGACGCCAATTACGAGTACCATGTTGAGCAATATAAGAAGCCAATTTGTTGTCTTCTTCAGGAGTCCATTGTCCTCTCTTCACATTCTCCTTTTCACAACATGGAATCCGACCCATTTCTTCTTTCTAGTTTTTATCTCTCGATCGATTTGATTACTCTTTAGTTAATTTACCAACAAATGAAAAAAGAAAATTTGGTTAAGAAATGAAAAAGGCTTATAAATCAAAGATTGCCCAAAAGAATTAGAACTGCCAAACTTTGATTTCTTTACTTTCTTGTAATCAAGCCTTTTAAATTGCAAAAGAAGAAAGGAAATGAATGCATATATATAATAAAATTGATTTAACAAAAATGAAAACATAGTAAAAATTAGCATCAAATGTGCATGAATTGATTAAACTCTTTAAAGAATTCAACGCTACAGAGCGTGTGATTCCCTTTGGCCGGTAGGTCACCCACTCAACGCCTGGTCAACTCCTTATACATTCATTTCATTATCAGAATATTCACCCATAAAATAATATTCTTGATATATTTACACTTTAGATTAATTATATAATTCTTCTGATATTCTCTATGCAAATTATAAATTTTTAACATTTTGGTTATGATGGGTAGAATGATTTGTATAACAAACTAGCTAGGGTTTGAATCATGAATTTAAATTGAACTCTTCTTTATATAATTGTGAATCATATTGAAGTTCTGCAGGAACAGTTTTAAATAAGTTATGACAATTCTTTTTTCATTTTTGTAAGGGAATGTCTTCGTTAAGTACGGAGAATATCGCGAGAGTGTTCGTGTGCATTAGTGATAGCATTCGTGAGAGCACAGAATCTTGTAGAAGTACCTTTTTCTTTTGTCTTTTGTCTTTTTTTTCGCGTACGAACTTGTACCTTTTGTTCTAAGTCACTTAGATACCACCTACTTATCTCATCTTTAATTTTGTTGTAAACTTGTAGTGGTAATCCACCGATACAAACATGAATGTTGATCAAAAAGTAAAATCTGATATCAAAAATAAAATATACAGTAATATTTATGGAATTAGATACAGTAGTATACTTTTGTATATAAAAATTCAATATACAGTATATTTTTAGATTTCTAATTCATATGTATTTTCGATAATTCCCCGAGGAATATGGATAATACATTTTGTTTTCCTCTTTTGTATTTGAACTTTGAATAATCCGGATAATGTGGATTTGGATAATTCGAACATTTCAGATAGACATGAAAATTTGTACTTTGGATAATCCATCCCCCAAAAGTTGTGATTAATTCTACCTTTTAAAATTATTATATCAATTAAACTTAACAATCTTTTTGACCAAAAAGAAACTTACAATCTTTATTTTATTTTTTTCATCTGTTTGCTATTTATTTGTCTTGACTTAGGAAAAAAAACACACGACAAAAAAATTGATATAGCATAAGTAGATTTCTTTGGATAGACATTACAGGTTTATCTCTCGAAAAACTTCTGCTTAAATTTTTGTTTTCTTATCATAACCATATCTCTGTGTTTTCTTTATTCACCATCTCCTTGAAATTCCCATGAATTTTTCCAAGTTTGAACTAGTAAGCCCGAGAAGAAGAAGAATAGCCATACTCTGATTTGTTTCGTAAGTAACGACTCCGACCATAACCTAATTCTCTCACAACCGACTCAACCATCCTCCCAGCCACTCCGGTTTC